ATATCACAACTAAAAGAATTTCTAATTACCACATCTGAGTAATTAAGAATCAAGAAATAGATATCCTTGCAACCAACGATTTGGATGATAATCATTCAGAAACACTCTATTCTATTGTGACTTGTCAAAAATAAAACGACTTACATTGAAAACTCGAAGAAAGAAAAATATATAGACAGGAAGAAGTATTATGAAATAATGTAAAAATGTATTGAATACATGTCTTCACAGACAATGGTTTAAAAGCGACGTAGAAAAGATAACACAATGGAAAAAATGAGGGCAATGATCGAATCAAAAGTATTCAATAAAACGGCTATTTATCTCTTCCGTTTCTTTATCGAAGTTTTATGGTTTTCTTTACATAACATCTACATTCTTATTCCATGATTCTTCCTTTATAAATGATCGTATTAATGGTAAGTAATCACTCTAATTAACTATTAATCACATTGTAAATGATGATTTTTCTTCTATTGATAATTGATCGACGAACAAAAATAATTATTCTAATTGTATTTACCGACTTCGTATCGTCAATCTTCAAAGATAAAACTAATTGCGGTATTTTATATTATTACAAGCGTTTTATATGCGTTTCTAATACTGTCCATGATTCATATTTTAATCATATTTTTCTAAATTTATATTGGTATTTATTTTATATGGGGAAAAGAAGATTGAAGATTGCCCAATCATCACGATTCGAAACAGACATAAACGAGAATATGCAATCACGTTTAATGACTGCGTAGTGAAAACATAGTGAAAACTGTCAAGCATAGAACAAAAAAGTCGTGCACACTGGAGCATTGCGCGATACACGAAATGGCAAAGATACGGTCTCCACTTTGTTATCATAGAAAAATTAACTAAAAGTAAAAGTTCTTCATTCCTTTAAAAGAAAAAATGTCTTTTATGAATTTAATCCTTACATCGATTTGCCAGATAGAAGAGTAAAGAGTAAAAAGACACAGTCATTATTTGGTATCATTATTCAAGCGTCAACGAAGTTCAAGTTATTAAATTATCTTGTCAAGTGTCGTATTACGATTCGGCTATGAAACAAAATATTCAGAAGTTACAACTCGTCCAAAGGTATAATGTATTTTATTTAATTTTCGAACAGAGATGAAATGCAATCAAAAAGATCATTTTTTTCATTTTTCATTAAAAATGTTCAAATATTTTTTTTTTTTTACAATTAAGTCTACCACATTGAATTTTAATCCTGATTACGAGCTTCTTTTCTTCTCTTCGTTTTTCCATTTCCGCGAACGCGTCGTTAACCTTCACCCAAACTGACTGATCGATAAAAAGGATTCAATCATTTAGTCGATTCGGCCTTGCCGTCTTCATAACGTTGCATTTTGAATAATTCTTGAGCGTGCTCGCGTAATACCGGTAACACGTATCACCGTTTTCCCACGTTTCATCGGTTGCCTTGTCCTAACGCTGACAATCGCCGTTTTCTGTCTTCGTATTGTGACTCGTAGTTACAGTGCAATGTGAAAGATACACGATGATTTGCAATCGTGTGTATATCGAAAGAGGTGAATGTAAAAAGTAAATTTAGATGAAGATTCGATGGTAACGTAGATAACATTAAGGAAATGTGGATGTTGAGGAAATATCATGAAGATTATTTTTTTTTATTGTATATATATGTATTGTATTATATTGCATTCGTCAACAAACGTATATATTATATTATATTAGTTAGCTCGTTAATTAAAGCTCAATCTTTTCTGTCCTGTGTAAATATAAATGTTACGTATCACTTTATTATTGTTACTTAAAGTGGAAATATTTAAATTGTTAGTTGGTAAATCTTATGATTCCTTCTTTGCATAATTTGTTTCGCAAATAGACCTATTTTATGTCGTATAACTTTGATTTTCAAACGAAGAAACGAATAATGAAATAAGAAAAATAAAAAGTGATAAAAAAAAAAAAGAATAAGATCAAAAATCAAAGATTCTTTAGAAAATATATTCATAATATAGAGATCACAAGATATAATATAGAGATTCGTTAGAAATACGATCAAATTCAAAACCTCAATTCCAATTTAAATATAAATGAAAAATCCTTCTGTTTTATATGAATAAAACCTAAGTAAGTAGAGTTCTATCTTTATATGTTTTAATTCGAAAAGGATAATACACGCAAAGATGTATCAACTACGGACAAAAAAAAGTCGAAGAAACGCATGGATGCGTCTCGTAAACGGTAGCGTACTTGAACCCAGAATTGGGGCCAGTGCGTGGGACCAGTGTACCTTTTATCTCTTGACAGGATTAGCATTGTCGAAGTTGTGCTGGGAGAACACGAGGCGCGCTTTTAAAGTAAAAACCACGATATTGCGTTACCGCTTCTGGTGCGGCATTGAGGCCTGAATTTGCGTTTCGTTAATTCCTTCTCCGCGTTAATTCAATTTCGCTTGCGAAGACCCCGGTAATTGGTTACGTGCGCGCGATACGTGATCTTGTATTTTTCGAAACCTGTTGTAAATCCTTAAATATCGCTCTCCTTCTTCGAATGAACAGTGAACAATTGAAGGAATTAAATAGAATCTATTTTTCCATCTCTTGGACAAAACGAAAGATTGAAAATCGTAGAATAGATCTTATTTTTTATTAATACGAATCATTTTAGCAAAGCGCAACGAAAAAGATAGAATTTAGAATCGGCATAAATGAAATTATTTTCTCGCTCGGAAACAAAACTTATTTATAACAATTTTACAATTCCCGCGTTGCGCAAGCAACTAGCTCAATTATATATGGAATAAAACGTATACACGAATAGCAAAACTTCGCCAACAGTGATTCAAGGTCTGACGTGCTATATACGATAGATGTTAGCCGTTTTTCAAATCATCGTGAGACTATCCTCGTCAGGGTGCGGTTGTTTATCGGATTTCTTGCCGATCTACGGGTTTAATCTCCGTCAAGATGATGCGTCACGCATGTGGACGCACGTTTCACGATCGATGAAAACGAGTGCATGGCGATCACCTTGAACAAATGCTCGCGATTAATACTAATCATTCATTTTTCTCCGCGGTTTGTTTCCCACGGTTTTTATCATATTATTTACAAAATTGTGATCGAATCACGATTGGAATTGATTGGCAATAAAGATATGTAATATCGAGTGATTGGTTTCCTATAAAGAGGAATTTAAATTAAATTAACAATTATTAAAAATTGTAATAAACTCGAATCTTTACGATTAATTTTATGTCAACTAGACATAATACCAATTCACAGCGATTATCTCATATCATTAAAAATACTGAATCATCGTCTGCTTGAAAAAAAAAAAAAGGAAGAAAAATAGAAACGGAGGAAGATTAATCACGAGTCGAAAAACGACTGTCGAACAATGAGTATTAAACGTGCAATTTCAACCCTGTCGACTTCTCACGACCATTGCAACGTTTATTAAAAACTTGCAAAATTATGAGTCACGATTTCAATTAAAGGCTGATGCGACGGTGACACAATGGTGTTTAAGAATTCTCAGGGAGGTACAGATAGTCGAAGCAGGAAGCAACACCGATCAGATTCTCTCTCAAAGATAATTGCGTAATTAGGCATGCGGATAGCGATGAATCATTCGCGTGAATCGACTCATTTTTTTTTTTTTCCACTTTCATAGAATTCGTCGATTGATGTTTCATATGCAAATCGTGTTATTAGTTTTTTTTTATCGTCAATATTTTTCAATAGTCACTTCTTCCTAACACTTCTGTAACTTCCTTTGTAACGCGTTTCGTAATCAAATAAACGACAATTCTTATCGTTCCATTTCAAACATCCCTTAATCTATCGAGAATAACATCTATTATACCCCCGTCATCCATCATTCAGGTGTCTCGATCTATCTTCCATCCATCCCATCTTCTATCAATTTTGATCGATTACTATAATAATCACAGCGAAACCCTTTCGTTGACGAGTGGTCTTCTCACAAAGATTAATAAATTTTCCAAAATTTTCTGATTTATCAAAAGACGAGTCTTTTTAATCGATCCTTCGAGATGAAAACGATCGATGCAATGGCCCGACAAAGCTGAAGGACGAATGTAAAAATTGTTACAAGATGCAAAAGAGGCGCGTGCCCGGCTCCCAGACAATGAGGCTCATTGAGAGAGAGAGGTCGACGACGTGTAGGAGGACGGTTGTCAACGTGAGAGCTTGGAGCTTTCGTAATCGACCAGCAGGTTGATTCCTCCGTAGCCTTCTCACTGGCCTGTTTTCGTCGTAGCAACGTCCCTCCATCGAATTTCTTCTTAATCGACGTGCCTCGTATGAGATTTCCATATGAGTCAACGAACCTCTTCTCTTAATGTAATTTTCAATTACTTGAAAAAGGAAAAAAAATAACGAATGGTGGTCAATTTAAATGAAGGTTTTAAAAATAATACGAAGGAAAAAAATATATATATAACTATTATGCATTAGAAGAAACAAACGTCATTCGGAGTAAAAAGAGCGACAAAAACTCTGACCTATTTGATCTGAACGGATTCGTGCCGATGATTTCAGTCCGTATCGTAAACTCAGGCTCATAAATCAATATTATCCTCAATCTGCAACTGAAACTATATTATCATGAGAAAAAAATTCATTGCGATCGGTAAGAAAAATGAATACGAGTGCCCTGATCTCAAATGTTAAATTTTTCAGTTTCACTTCTTCTTCTTCTTCTTCTTCTTGGTTCAGAATCACGATAGTCAGTGACAAAAACGAATACTGCGAAACATTCTAACATTCCATTGCATTAATCAACGCGTTAAGTTTCTTTCTTATCGATTGTGTTCCACCGAAACGATGGACCGTTTTCACGAGCTCGATCTTATCATTGGCAGAAATGTCATCTCTTTTTCTACCGTTTTTCCCAAGGCCCAATTCCATCCTCCCACGCTTGTCCACGAATCGAGACATCCTCGACGCGACGACGACACACCAAGGTGTGCACACGCGGATCCCCACCTCTCGCCACGGATGACCTCCCCCGTGGTCGAACTGCTTCGCAGGGATAAATGTACACTTGGCGTCGGCCACGAGGCTTTTAGCAACGGCAGAACGAAACTGCCGCTCGTCAACAACAATCATCGCCGCGTCTCATTGTCCAGAATCGTTGAGATCGACGACGGCCCCAAAAAGAGAAATTACGTGCAACGTTCGGCCGCTAAGGGGATGAAAAGATCGGTAGTAGTAAGTCTCTTCCTCTTCGAATCGAGAATTGTCGTCGATGACTTCGCCAATGAATTATTGACAACGTTTCGGATTGGAGGAACGTTGGAGGATGTGGAAGAAGGTTTCTGTAGGAGGGTGAAAGTGTTGCACGTGAATAGGAAAATGGAAATTTGGGGAGGGGTTGATCGTACGGGTCGGTGAATCTGTTAATTGGAGTTAGTTTCATGAGTTTGTTGTTGTGAGAGAGAGAAAGTGCATAGATTTGAAGTTTAAATTTCTTTCTTAAGATTTGATGTGGTGGAATTATACAATTCTTCTAAGGTATACGTTTTCCAATGGATAATGAGATTTTTTTTTTTTTTTAAAGCGAAGATTCGTCTTAATAGAAGTGTGTGTATAAATTTAATAAAAAAAATACTAGAATTGAATGGAGGCTACCAATTGAGAAATCCGTGATTAAGATATGTATATATAGCAAGTTTCTCACGAGTCGATTAAATTGCATCGCAATCGTGCTCGAGGATCAAACATTCAAGGTTGCAGGATCGGTGCGCGATCGTAGATGACCCACTACTCTGCATGAATAGCCTTTCATGCTGAAAGGAGGAAATACGTAACGCGAAGACGTAATAACCAAGAAGTCGACAAATCAATTGCACGTAAATTGCACGTTTCGCTCGTAATGCAACGCGCTGGGCATGATTTACGAAAGCAATGTAATATCTACCATTGAGACTAATGATCTTCAAATTCATCTGTTATTTCTCGTTATTTCGAATCGCGCAATTGGCATATTTATCGGTTTGAGTAATTGATTTGGAGTCAAATTTTCAAATTTTTAAAGAATTATCAGGAAAGGTTCATTGTCCTCGATATATTTTTGAAACGGAAAAGGGAACGAATCGCGTGTAACATTGAAGGGAACAGTTTATTTTTATTGACGTATATCTATCGATATATACGCTCGATATTGGCGCCACAAATATCTTCCATCGGCGTAATAGCGATCGATGGGAACACATTAGGAAGAAATATGAAAGAAATTTGTGCTCGTGGACATGGAGCCACGATTGTTTCTAACTTTTTCTTCTTATATTTTTCAGATGATGCCTTCTTGGATTCTTTTCGGTTTATTTTCCTTGGTTCACGGTCAGCTGGATATACCGTCGTTGAATGAAAATTCTCGCGATAATTTTGGCAGGCGACTTCCACCTACGGAAGGCGAGTTGCAAGACATTTTAGCCAGATTGGACTTCCTTGGTACCGAGAGATGCAGCGCAAACGTGGCTGCGCAATGGTCCTACGAAACGGACGTGAACGAATACACTCAGATACAGGCGGTGAGTATGCGAAATATTCACCGGCATATTGTTCAATTCTATTTAAAATTCCATCCATGTGGAATTTAAGTTACAATTTCCACGAATTCGTGACCGAAACACCCGCATATGCGATAACAATTTTCGAGTTTCGGTAAAAAGTACGAGATTCGGTTTATCATCGGATCCGTTATCATTCAACTTTCTTCCTTTCCATTCCGAAAGTCACCAATTTACCGCAATGAATTCAGTTGGAATTAATTCAATCGACTTCATAAACTAACGAGCCTCTTCGTCTGTCCACGGACTTAATTATCCTCGTCGCTTAACGAAACGTTTAATTTGGAAATTTCATATTTCGAAACCATTTATCTCGATAATCCACACGATTAAATAATTCCAAATTTCTCAAGATATCTTCAATAATCGACACAATCAATTACAAAATTCTCACGTTCGAACATACCCTTTTCTCAAGATCAGGCATAAGAGTTAGACATAATAAGTTAAGACGTATCCTCCGTGTCCTAAAATCGTGTATTCCAACAGCGTGCACCGCGATCGTTCGATGTTGCTCGATGACACTGAGACCTCGACCCGCTCCGTGAGAGACGTCATCGCGGCTGTCAGATCGCGGAGAATCGCGATTTCGCGTGCACGTTTCCTCGGTGGCCGGCCTTTGTTGTCCGCTTAGGGGCCGAACACCTTCGCGGGAAATATTCCCACCGGCTCCCATTGTGGCATCGGTGTATCCCAAATGATTTCGCAACGGAACATCAGTCCAAGTTGGAATGGAAATGTTCAGCCTTCAACGCGAAATCCGCTATGTTAGTCGCGTGATGCTAATGATAATAGCCGTGTCTTCGTTTTTCTTCTTCTTCTTCTTTTCCTTCGTTATTCTTCGAATACTTGGGGAAACTCGTGTATCGAGACGATGTCGAAGGCATGAGATTTTCTTCGATGTTGCTTAATTCTATGTTCAAGAATTTGAATATGTACTGGTTTCTAACAGAGATCTGTTGAATTTATGGAAAGGAATTTATTTTTACCAAAATATTATTAATGAATTAATTTTTTTACCTCGAAGTAATTCTTCGATAATTTTAATATGTTTAATTTTAATATGTATGTAATAAATGTACAAAATGATTTTCGAAAAGATGATTTTATTTCTTAGAGGTTTAGGAATGGAAGGGAGGGGAGGAAAATTGAAGAAGAAATCGTTCAAGAATTTTCTTCCTTCCTCTTTATATGTATCTGTGAAATGAAAATTAGGCGTTTATTTTACTTTTCCTTTTAAATCAGAATTCTTCTATGACGATTGAACGTTTCTCAATGACCCAGAAAGAAACCTGTGTCCACTTTCTCGAGTATTTTCCTTTCCTCCAACGCCTTCGTCTATCTCTAATCCTATGAAGAGTGAAGATAACTGTGTTTATCGGTAACGGTAAACCTGGCGTTGGTCGATTTGCACTTCGAACCAGTTCCACATGGACAAGCGCCTTCCACACTGATTACTACCTTGCTCTTCGATACAAGAATTCTTTCTTTGCATATTCCATTGCAAAATAATACCATCATCGATGAATAAAAACTAAATAATGTTACAAAATCGATTTTTTGAACATGTAATTTGTAACAAGATAAAAAATATTTGTTTCCAGCTCGAAGCTCAGAGAATATACGCAGACTTTCAGAATCAGGCTTGGTTCCTGATTTCGAGGATCGATAAAAATAATATCAGAGATCCTGTGATCAGAAGACGTCTCAGATATTTGTCTGTGGTTGGTCCATCGGCTCTTCCACCCGATCAATTGGACAGGGTAAATAACAATTACCTAATACATGAAAATCATCATCATTTGATAAATCGATTTTTATTGATTTCTTATCTGCTACATTGTTTCTAATAGATAAGAAGGAAGTGATTTTATGTGTAAAAAATGAAGAATTTAATATACATACTTAAAAAGTATAAAAAGAAGGATATAGTATAATATACTCTGTTTCTTTTTCATGGTCTATAAATATGAATGTAAGAAACATGAATAATAGCAAGAATAAAACAATCTTTTCGATTACTCGTTAAAAACGCAAATCTCCGCGGGAAAAAAGAAAAATCAAAAATAACAAACGAAAAAAAAGCAATCGAATCTATTCGCTCCATCACTCACTTCCGTTTCTAGTTAGTCGCGTAACAGACTCTTTCAAATAGGAAGTATAAATTTCATTTCCTAACGATAATAAATGCTTATTTTTTTCAACAATAAAGAAAAGAAGAGGGAACGAAAAAACGATCTACGAGACACAAATTTTCTCCATCTTTCCTTTTTATATTTCTTTCCTTACGATTTATTTTCCCAATAATATTTTCTCTTTCCTTCCTTTTTCTCCTACTTTTCCTCCTTTCTCATTTCTTCCTTATTTTTCTTCTTTTTTTTTTTTCAGTACAATCGCGTGATCAACGATATGCTGGCAGTGTACAACGAGGCTACCATTTGCGCGTACAACGATCCCTTCCGGTGTGGGCTGCGGCTGTATCCAGGTAATGAATAATATCCTCGAATTGTCCGTGAAGGAAAAAACAAACAACGATACGATTTTCACGGCTGGTAGTCGGCGAAATTGCCACGATACGCGTAAGCGGTTGTTACGCATAAGAAAGTGCCTCTCTAACACGTAAACACGAATGAACGATAAATATTTCATCGTTGTGCGTTAAAAGAAGGAGGATTCATGAAAATTCATTATAATTTCTCTTTTTCTTTCACGCGTGTTCGTGTTTCGACGGAAAATGGAAAATATTCTTAGCTCTATCTACTCGGATCATTTCTCTTTCCAAATATAAGAGGATTAATTTCTGTCTAATCTCTCAGATCATCCAGAAACGATTTTTTTTTTTTATTGTTGTAAGATAGGATACAAATAGATACGTATAATGAACGATGTCTCGTAAACCGCAAAAGACAATCAACGAGACAGAAACACGGAAGTTTTATGATCTTCTTTAAAGATTCTGTCTTCGCGATTCATTTAGATCTAGAAGATCGAGATTCTATCGGTAACAATGATGTGAGTTGCAGATTTAAAAAAAAAAAATAACTTTTAAAGATTCGACGATTTCATCGATTATATTCATTAAAGATGGTCTGCCTTAAAAAAATGATCTTCTACGTCTTTGAAAAATCGTTTCGTCACGTATCGCTGGTTAAGGACGAACACGTAACATATTTTCATTATGAATAATAATGATTCATTATGGATAATAATGAATAATAAAAGTGGATACGGGTAAGATCAGAAAGATAGATTATTTTGCTCAGGAAAATCGATATCGAAAATTGAATAATTGTAATTAAACTTGAAATTATGTAACTTTAACCTATAAAATCTATAAAATAAAAATTGTGCAGGATATGTCGATTTTTATATAATCAAATTTATATACTTAGTACAATTTTGACGTTTTATGAGAAACTTAGAGTTATAGAGTTTTGAATCCATACAACTTACATTTATAATTATCTTATGCTTAAATCTATAACATTTGTTATAATGTCCAAAACAAAATGGTTCATTACAACTGATATTCGTTTATCTCTAATTCGCAACAAAATATGGATACTTCAGATCTATTCAACTTAAAACTATGCCAGTTGTTCGTGTCACAAGAGGCTATCAATCTTATGGTTATCGTGAAAATCGATCGAGTTAAAGAATCTTATTTGAAATACGATTAAATCTATAACATTTGTTATAATGTCCAAAATAAAATGGTTCATTACAACTGATATTCGTTTATCTCTAATTCGCAACAAAATATGGATACTTTAGATCTATTCAACTTAAAACTATGCCAGTTGTTCGTGTCACAAGAGGCTATCAATCTTATGGGTATCGTGAAAATCGATCGAGTTAAAGAATCTTATTTGAAATACGATTCTGTATAAATAAATTGAACGTCTTGCACGACGATTAATATCTAGTCTTGTTTGTTCGAAGAATAATATTGAATTACGTTATTTCGTAGATATATCGCAGATCATGGCGAAAAGTCGCAACTGGGACGAGTTGCAATATGTTTGGACGGAATGGAGAAGACGTAGCGGCATGAGGATCAAGGATCTGTATCAACAACTTGTCACATTGAACAATGAGGCAGCTAAACTAAACAGTATGATTGAAAATTAACTTATTGTGCAGAGTGCAGAGATTTTCAATCTTTCGACAAATTCATACCATTTTTCCTTTGTTCTCCACCCGTTGATTTTATAATTACTCGCATATCTAATTGTTTCTTGTGTAGCATCGATTCGTATCATGATTTTAGAATCTATCTGCTGGATAAATGTGGCTGAAATAATTGAGAATTGGAAGAAATTATTTTTTTTTTTTTTTTTTTGTAAATCACACAGATTTCACCGACGCGGCAGAATATTGGATGTTCCCTTACGAATCTCCCAATCTGCAACAAGATATCGATGAAGTTTGGGAAATGATACGTCCCCTTTACGAAGAATTACACGCGTATATTCGAAGGAAATTAAGGGACTTGTACGGACCCGAGAAGATCGGCACTCATACTCTTCTTCCAGCTCATATTCTTGGTAGTAATACAATTTCAATTCTAGAATGTTCCATAATATCGATATTATTGTCATATTTTTAAATATTGTAAAATATAATTAATATTATATAACAGGCAATATTTGGGCTCAGTCGTGGACTAACATTATCGATATCACGATTCCATACCCGGGAAAAAATAATCTAGATGTGACGCAGGAAATGCAGGCCCAAGTAAGAGTTTATTAAATATTATATAATTCTTATCAAAGTGGAATTAACTTGGACAGGCTAATGAATTCAATCGTTCATTGTGCGCCAGATAGAATCGAAAGTAACCTGTTACGATTCGAAAGTAACGGCGAAGTGAGTGAAGATTCGAGAAATACAATGTTTCTCTCATTTCCATCCGAAATTTTTTTATTTTTCTTCCTTTATTGTTCATTACGTGGAATTAAATTCTTAGATCGTATAAAACTTTGAACTCTTATAAATTTTTATCCATTTAAATTTTCTATAAATACATAACGAATATTCGTAATCTATTCATCAAATAAATATATTCTTACAGTGAAACTTATTATTAGATTAGATTAGTTTAATTTTTAATTTCGCAATTGCCTTTTTTTTTTTTTTGATTTTCAAATATACGATTACAATCATCAATCGTTTATGATTATATGTTTTATCTTCTATGTATTATTTTATCTTCAATTATGCCAAAAGACTTTCATGCTGAATTTCTACATGAATTTATTCCCGAGATAAAACTTACAACAACACGTTCGTTGAATTTAATTAATTTTAATTAATTCTAACGCTACTTTTTTCATCTGATCGAGATTAAAATTGAAACTGACTAAAATTTGTTTAGGGTTACACACCTATCGAGATGTTCAGAATCGCCGAGGAATTTTACTTATCTTTGAACCTGAGCGCTATGCCACCGGAATTCTGGGCCGGAAGTATAATCGTCGACCCTGGAGATCGACCTTTGATATGCCAGGCTTCCGCTTGGGACTTCTGCAACCGTCTAGATTACAGGTTACTTAATTAAAAAAGAATGGAAATAAATTCTCTTTCGAATTTCGAAATCAATTTTTATATTTCTTACAGGATCAAGATGTGCACCAAAGTCACCATGAAAGATTTAATCACAGTGCATCACGAGATGGCTCATATCGAATATTTCTTACGATACAGCGGATTAACTCGTGAATTCAGGGATGGCGCCAATCCAGGTATATAAATGCCTCGTCCCCAACCTTTGATCGATTATTCCTACGATATAAATTTAAATTTTAAAAAAATTCAATCACAAATTACTAAAAAAAAAAAAAAAAGTGAACCAATAGGTATAAACTTTCTCTTCTTTCGGGAAAATCGATCAATCACCACCAAAATCAAACACTATCGATATATATATCGAACATTCTTCTCCGAGCGAAATAAATCAAATACACAAGTGATGGAAAATTTGAAGTAAATATAAGCACGAACGCACGAACGAGATTGACGAATAAGAAACAAGGGAAACGATACGCGATGGCATAATGGACGATACACGGTAGTTGCGTAAGGAATGGGGTCCGACTTCCGGTAGACGGTCCACACAAGACTTGTACGGTTAATAGCGCGAAAGCGAGAGCGAGAACGATACGGTCGAGGCGGATTCGCACGAGCACCGATCCGGTGTGTCCGAGTGGATGTGCAAGTACTCTCCAATCTGTACGATCGTTAAAATATTTTTATTATGGTATAATCGCGCTTTCACCGGCCGGTCTGCCGGCCGGTCGTTCGCCCAACGGAATAGACGCTATGAAAATAAATCACGTGAACGATATAACTGCGACCTTGCATATTTGTCGAGCCGGTTAAAATAAATAAATAACCGAACTCCTAACTTAATTGGCTCGATCGATAAAAAAAGAAAAAGAGAAGAAAAGAAAAGAGAAAACATGTATGAAAAATATTCGATGTATGGCAATCCTTAAACTTTTCATTTACTTTTCCTTTTTTCACTCGAATTGGATAGTTAGAAAATCGTCGATAATGGTGGGATTAAGTTGTCACTCGACGAAAGTTACGACTTACGATAGCAAAAACAACCTTGTCTTTCACCTCTCGAGGAGTGAAAGAAATTGAAAGATTTTTAGCGGTTGACAATTTGTCTGTAACTGTCCTCGCTTTCCCCGCGAATTACACGCGCGCGCACAGTGTAAAAAAATCTTGGTTCGCGCAGGATTCCACGAAGCCGTGGGTGAAGCCGTGGCCCTCAGCGTCGCCACTCCTCGCCATCTTCAGACTCTAAGTTTGGGTAACAAGTATATCGACGAGTCTACAACGGATATCAATTACCTGTTCACTCTTGCCATGGATAAATTGGTGATGTTGCCGTTCAGCATCGTAATGGACAGGTGGCGGTGGGACGTGTTCCGCGGTTACGTCACCAGGGAAGACTACAACTGTCATTGGCACAGGTTGATGGAGCAATACGCCGGTATCAAGCCCCCTGTTTTGAGATCGGAGGACGATTTCGATCCTGGCGCTAAATATCACGTTCCTGCAAATATCCCGTACATTCGGTAAGTCTTTGAATACATCTTTGAATATATATATATATATATATATACATTATTGAAAATCATCGAGGAAATATGCGGATTTCTCCACCTAAGAAGAAGAGGGACGATTTCACTCACGATCGGTCTTAATTCAAAGTTTGAAGTTGTATCATCCCGATGCATCGAGAGAAAGAGGCTTTCTCCGTGTCAGCGAATCTCGGTTCGCCTAGCCTTCATCGACGAGCGTTCGATAAATTTTTCGACTCCTCCGTTTTGTATCGTTACGTGCACACGTTCGATGAAAGTTTCTCTTTCTTCGGCTACCTACGGATTAATAATTGCCGGCCAACTTTTTATCGCGTTAATCACCAGTCTATTTCCGCGTTAACGTATTCTCGTACTTACATCTGGCCGGCCACTTTCGAACTTTTCCGGGAAACAGTGGCTCGTTTGTTACGGACGTAACGTTGCGTTACCGCGCATCGCGAAAGTCGATTCGAAGATGATATCGCGTTCGACGCTTTCCTCGGGAAGCGAAAAAGCGCTCTTACGAAATTAGAAGCGGACAGAAAACGTAATGTGGCTGGATTCAGAATTTTTGATTGCGAGTAATTCGTACAGTATTAGAATCCTCGTTGAATATCGATCGGATCGTGATTTGGAGATAGTGATTTGGAGAGAATGGAGAAATATCGAAAATACCGTAGATTTTTGGTCTTTGGTTTTATTAGAAAGAAGCGAAAGACACATGGTACAGGGGCGTCCTCGAATTAACAATTACTCGTCGAACGCCTCGTGTGAATCTTTTGTACAATACATCGTACATATAATATATTCTTAGGTACTCAGGTATCGAAGGGTATAATACTACTACGTTCTAAATAAATCACTGGCCGAAGAACGATCCACTCGAGAATATGCTTGCGTCCATCTTGCGCCGTCCCCCTTCTCGTCTCTCTCTCCATCATTCGGCTCAGCGATGCATATATTTTTCGGAAAATGATTATTAATTAGGAAATAAATATACCTCCGTCGCGTCGGAAATAATAATAAACTCTGATCAATCTCCAAGAGGGAGAAGAAAGGTTGACGCGACACAATTTAAACGATTGAACCTACGAGTTACGAATGGGGGTGACGAATGGCTCACCCCCAATTCGCGATACATACCCCCTATTCCTCTAATGACCGCCGTAACTCGACTCGTAACCACCCTCTAGACCCCCAGAATCTCCTCCGTATCCGTGATCGTGCACGTGAACGGGCACCGGTACCTTAACCGGATACGGCACAGGCTTAGGGACCGGAACCGCTACCGGCTTCGTGACCTGAACAGCTACCGGCCGTTCGATCGGCACCTTAACCGCGTACGGTACAGGCTTTTCCACGGGCACCGGTACAGGCTTCTCCACCGGGTACGGCGCGGGTACGGGTACCTTGACTTCGACGGGTACTGGCTTCTCTACAGGTACTCCGACGGGTCTTTCGACGGGCACCTTGACGGGATAAGGTACAGGCTTCTCGACAGGCACCGGTACGGGCTTCTCCACGGGCACTGGATACGGTTTAGGGACGTGAACAGGGTACGGCCGTTCGATGGGCACGTTGACCGGGTACGGTACAGGCTTGTCGACTGGGAACGGTTGGGGGACGTGCTCCACGACTTTGACTGGATACGGTACGGGCTTCTCGATGGGGTACGGCTGTGGTACGGGTACCTTGACCGGGTATGGAACCTTCTTCTCCACCGGATACGGTTGTGGCACGTAGACCTTGTACGGCACTGGCCTTTCCACGGGTACCTGGACAGGGTACGGTATCGTCTTCTCTACCGGATAGGGCTGCGGAATGTGGACCGGCACCTTGACCAGAACTTTGACGGGGACCGGGATCTTCTTCTCGACCGGGTACGGTTGTGGTACGGGGACCTTGACCGGGTACGGTATTTCCTTTTCCACGGGGTAGTGGATCTTCTTCTCTACCGGATAGGGTACTTTGACGCTCTTCACGATCGTGATCTCCTTTACTTTGCCACCTTCCTCGCCCCCGTACCCACCGCCACCGCCGTAACCACCACCCCCGTAACCGCCGCCTTCGTATCCACCGCCATCTCCTCCGGATATAGCGATCTCGTGTCCTCCGCCGTAATCGCCGCCACCACCGATATCACCCTCGAAATGCGAGAGGCCCCGTTTCTCTTGCCTCTTTTCTACGTTAGACTCGCCGCGAGTCTCCACGGCGCTCCTCTCCAACTCTTTCTCGCAAAACGCCGTGGCCAACAGGCCAACAACCAATATCGTATGAAACTGAAACGAAGACGAGACGTTAACGAAACTTAGATACTTCAACTCTTTTCAATTTCAAAATTTCGATTTTCTTCGATCGAAGGAAACGGTTGGAAAATGACGAGGACAAGTTTTCCAAGGATATTCGCGCGATGTTCTCTCGATACTCACCAAATATCTCATGTCTCGCGATGCACTCCGATATCTGGTCGAAGTCCAGACTTTACTGGATACTTCCCCCCAAGATTCCACGGTCTTTATAGTCCGCTTTCCCCCGTCGCGATCGGTCTCCAGCCCCTCTGTTCGCGCTACGTTCGCGGAAAAGTGAAACACGCGCGCGTATGGCGCGAGCATGCGAGCGAGCGAGCGGGGCCCCTCGCTCGACGCTCGCGACGTTGTAGCATTTTTTTTCTTTTTAAATCCCGGCCCCCGGTTGCTTCCATAACCCGTCGTATGTGCATTGGCGTACCCGTTGGCGTGCCGGGGATTCTCTTCCAGGGTGAAAGGAAACGCTCACCGCGCGGAAGACGTGCCAGTGTTTACCGAAACTCACACTCCTCCTCAAGCGCCGCGCCTCTATCTATCCTTCCCATCGATTAAATTAAAACGATACTACGCGTTTGACGGTGATTAATTTTAAATAGATTCCTTTACGCGGGTTAATAGGGAAAGAAATTGGAGAGATCTCGCGCGAAAGATAATATGAAAGATATAAAAGATTTGCGAGATACGATATATGTGATAATTAAGAGTAATTTACTTTCAACTTTGTATTATTTCGATAGAGATTCTTTTCTTTTTTTTTTTTTTTTTTTTTTTTGGTTAATGCTAGAAGGTTGTGTTATAATAAATTAAAGAAAAAATATAGGCTGAATTTTCGAGGTATATAATTTTATTTAATTTTCTACTGTCAGTTATATTTGAAAGAATTCGAGAAGAAATTCAGAGGATAGGTGTTTTTTAACGAGTGTTTGATTTACTTATTTTAAACAGCAGTAAGAAAATGTTCACGGTTAAACCGGTTAGACCCTAAAAACATTGTTTGCCTGATGTTTTGTTCATCCAGATTTCCTCCATCGCGATTTCCGCTAATTAATGCTTATTAAAAATCGTTTGTAACAGATGAGTCGATCATCTATTTATTCCAAGAACTACCAACTTCTTTGACTTCAATATTCTATATCTTATATCTATATTTAAATATTCAAGATATTTTCCTACACCTAACTAACGAATTTTTTACTCCTCGAATGTCTTCATCCTGTAACGATCCTCTAAAAATAAAAATGATTCGTCATATTTTTTTTATTCCAAAGATTACCATCGTTCATTATCTTTTACGTCAATGCTTATAATTCGTAATTTTCTTGTAATTTTAATTTATGGATTAAAAAAAGTCTAATCTATATCACTGGCCTGACGAATTCGCATTTTCAAGTTTCCAAAATTGAACGAACAATTTCTCTTTTTGTTTTTTTTTCTTCCTGCAACCATTTCCATATTCCGAAGTTTCTTCGTCAAAACGATTGTCCCCTCCTTTCTGGATCCCCACAGGAATGACGTTCCACCGATTGAATCCGCGACCACCTCTTTCGTGGAACGAAGAGAACGCGAGGAAGAGAGTCCACGGTGGAAAGGTGAAATAAAAAAAAAAAACTAAAAATAAAAAGCGATGGAAGTGGTAACAAGATATGGAGGAAGGGGCATAAAATATATGATTTACATCACGCCAGTAAAGCCTTACTCAGATTAATCAAGTTGCTTGAATTCGAGCAATTTGAATTCAAGAAACTTAAAATCATTTATGTGATTTATATTATTCGAGTTGTACTCTTTCATTCCGCTATCCAAATTCGCTTTCTCTTTTATCGTTTTTTTTTTAAATCTTTAATTTCTTTTATTTTTTTTTCTTTTATTTTTTTTTTTTTCCATTAATGTTGAAGAGAAGACATTTTCTTTCGTGTCTAATTACCACAGTTCAAACGAATTAAAGTGGGGTAATTCGTCTTACGTAAACACAAAGTTGAAATCAAGTTAGTCGAATTGAAGTAACCACACTGAACGTGTTATTTTATTTAAGGTGAAATGAACCTGTTATTTTATAGACTTGAAGTATCCTTTCATTTCCCTTCCTAAATTCACTTTCCCTTTTTAATATAGCTCTTTAAAATTTCTAACAATTCGTTTTACAATTTTTTTTCTCATTGTTATTGCATAAAATTAAAGCATTTCTTTCATCATACGTTAAAAAAAAAAAACATTCGGTTACACGAACTCGAACGAATTAACCTTTCTTGAGACTTATAAGACATCGTTCTCGTAATACCCACTTTAATTTTAATCATGTGGATATAATATATCTTATCCGCATAATATAATAGGTCGTTAGTTCTAATGTTAATTACAAAAAGAAAGAGTTAAAATCCAATAAATCATCTTAAATGAATAATACAAAGTTGAAGTTGAATTATTCAGAGTATTCGGGCAACCGTTCTTAACTGATGAAACTACTGTCTGAGAGATCGATCGTGCAGATGCTGAGCTCGAAACGCATCGATGAATGTTAATTGCATTACGTCTCGTGTAGAGAGAAAAGGAGAGGATAATTCGAGAGACTCTTACCGAATTCTCTTCCCTTCCTTATTCTTTTAATACACGTTCTGCTTCCGTAATTGTCCGTTTGGTAAACTTACAAGCCATCCGTTATATATTGGGGGGAATGAATTTTACGCTTATGCAACAACGAAGGAAATCAAATTTTGTTTTTTTTTTTTCCACCGTATCCACTGTATATGCCAACCTGATGATAATTCCAAAACTGGAAAGCAGATATGATAGTAGCATCTATATGTTAATATATGCGTACTACTGGCTTTTAATTGAGGGTTTAGATAGTAATTACGCGATCTTGAAAGCGAAATAACACGGGGCAGATATAATTGCAGGAACGTAGTGATACTAGTGATTGATAGATTAAGTGAAATGTTTGCTAATTTTTAATAAATGATGAAAGTACCGAAACGAATCTGTAAATTATTATTTTTATTTTGAAAGATTTAATTGATTATATATCAATATTGACACGTACAAATCACTTTCTACGACCGGAAGATAATTTTACGTTCGATAATTGGATTATTTTTTGGAGATATTCGCTTTGTTTATGATTAAAAAAAAAAAGTGCATCAGTGACTCCATCGTACGCGATAAAATGAGGAATTTGCAAATAAAATATTGATCGAGGCGTGTTCTAAAAAAAGAAAAAAAGAAAAACTATTCGAGGAATACGCATATCGATTAACGATCAACGAGTTTTCCGTGGGAAACTCATGCAATCGCATGGAATGTATTTATATTATATTTATATTTATAGATAATTAATTATTCATATACTATTATATGAATAGGGAAAAACCATCGTGGAGAAAAAATGAGAAATACGACTTATATAACAGTAGAAATACATTAAACAAAAATTATCACCATTTTATCATAATACATTTCTAGTTTTACAAACTAGAAATATTTTTAAAGATAAAAATCCTAAATATCTTCGAAATATCTCGAGAGTCAAGATGTCAGAAATCAATTGAAATAAATAAAACACGATAATAACATGCATAATAATAATAATAATAATAATAATAATAATAATAATAATATAACAATCATAATCGTGAGTTCGTTTAATTTCTAATCCGATCTTGTTCGAGATCTATCCGAATTTTCATCGTTAACTTCGTGAACATTATCATTCGTATTAAGGTCTTCTTTGTCGTTCCATTTTTCAGATTTAACTCCCTTCCAATCGAGATTCACTCGTACCGGTACCTGAACCCAATAAGGGAATGGTTTCTCTATCGATATCGGTACTGGTTTCGGCACGTACACTTCGTACGGTTTGTCTACGGGCACTTTAATCTGAACGGGATAATGTTTCTTTACCTCCACTTCGATTGGTTTCTCCACTGTATATGGTTCCGGTGCAGGTACCTTTACCGGCACCGGTACCGGCCTCTCAATCGGTACAGGGAAAGGCTTATCGACCGGTACCTTAACCTGAACGGGATACGGTTTAGCCACAGGAACTGGATACGGTTTGGCGACCTCGACGGGATATGGTTTAGGCACTGGCACTGGATAAGGTCGATTCACGACTACCTTGACCGGTACGGGCACCTTTTTTTCCACCTCGTAGGGCTGCGGTACCTTAACCGGTACTTTGACCTCGTAGGGCACTGTCTTATCGACGGTATACGGCTGCGGTACCGGTACCTTCACCTCTATCGGTATCTTTTTCTCAACCGTGTACGGTTGTGGGACAGGTATCTCCACTTTGTACGGTACCGGCCGATCCACCTTCACCTCGTAGGGTACTTTCTTCTCCACGGTGTACGGTTCTGGCACCTCGACGGGTACGTTCACGAACACTTTTACTGGATACGGTACTTTTTTCTCAACCGTGTACGGTTGTGGTACCGGTACCTTGACTTCGTACGGTACATGTTTATACACAATATACGGTATCTTTTTCTCTACGGGCACCGGTACCGGAATCTTCTTCTTAACTGTTATCACTGGTTCCTGCCAGATATTGCTCCTTGGGAATCTTCTCCAATCTTCTTCGTTTCCGCGTGTATTCGGCCATTCTTTGAAAGACTTGGATTCGAATCTTTTAAAATATCTGATCCAATCTTCGGTATCGTTTTCTGGTTCTTCTTCCATCGACGAGGAAGAACGATTGTCGTAATTGAACTCACGGTGAGGAACTTTTCTCTTGTTGGAGTAAGATTCTCGAACGATCTTCGACTCGGTGGTGGTGTTTCCGCTTTCCAACGCTTTCTCCACTGCTCTTTCCGCAGCCCTTTCCGCTGCTTTTTCCACAGCCAGCTCCGCTGCCCTTTCGAGATCCTCTTTTCGAGTTGCCGTACACGTCACGACCATGGAGAGACATAACAACGTGATGACACTTTGCTCCTACGAGAATCGGATAAAAATTAATCAGAGAAAAAAAACATTCACGTGGAATAGATGAAAGGAAGAGATGAAAGAGACGTACGAATGATTCAATTATATAATCAATGGATGGGAATCGGGAAACGAAATTGATTTAGTATCCTCTAAATTATCTACTTTTTTACTTATTGGCGATATTAAGTAATGCCTATAATTACGACGTAATATATTTTAGTATATAAACCAGTTGGAAAATATGTTTCACCTATAACTCTTAAAATTCATCTTTATGAAAGGAGGAAGAATCAAGCCGATGAAGCTAAAAGATTAAGGGTTCAAAAATACCAACCAGTCGTCCCATGATTTTTCTAGCCGTGATCAAAGTGCACTGAATCCAAGCGGATGCTGTTCCAGTATTATTTATACACGGTGGATGACTTTCGCCCGTCCGACCAGATAGATCTTTATAGACTTGCAATTTCCAACTTGTGATAATTATCCACCGTGTAAACGACCATTTTTCATGAGAATCAGTTCGACAGGATCCAAGAGTACGGAAACGTACAGGCATTTATTATTCGACTCGTAAAATTGTTTTGTTCCCAAAGAAATAATTCTAGAATACCTTTGCCACGGATTATTGTCACGGAAATGTTTACGATGGAACAGAGAATTTTCTCGAATCGAGCAACTCGTATTTGAACAAAATTGAAATTGCTCTCAGAAATTGAATGATTAAATCATATTTCTAATTTTTTCATTCGAAAATTATCTTTCATTAGATTCTATGAATTGCATTCGATATAAATATTCTCAAACATATTCACACCCTTGTGATGATGTATCTTTCCCCTATAAAGTAATCTTCAATGCTTGCGAAACTGAATTTTTATTCCAAAAAGACACGACAAACTTATAAAACATATGTATTTATGTATGCATGAATTGCAGAAATTTTTATTCAGTAATGAAATGATAGTGACTATTTATATTTAATATATAAAAGTGAATGACCACTTTCTAGAAACAATCGTAAAATCATCTTGAATCATTTCATGGGGCCACGTTTTTCTGCATAAAAGAAATATTTTAAAATTTCCATCGAGGAACTCACGAGAAGTGAAAATAGAGTTACGTTTTTTTTTATTAATCGTTTTCGCAATGCTTCACAGATTTATACGCTGGACAACTTTTTGTTTCAGTCTCCTCACGTTCTTATGCTTTTTTTTTTCTTTCTTTTCATACCGTTGATCCTCATCAATCACACGAGTCATCGAGTTTCTCGTGTCTGGTTCAAGTGAAACCGAAACCGGTATAAAACTTCTCTCAGACGGCGCGGTCTTGCCATTTTAAATCGCATCGCTTTCTTCCTTTGCATCGACAATTAGATTAGATATCTTCCCTCGTTTCCAACTTCACGCCTTCCAATTTGAATTAATTTTTCAATTAAACGAATAATTGTTTTTTTATGGTTTAATGGAAAACGTAAGAAATTCTTCGTCGAGAGTCGCGGAATTTGCTCTTACGTTGTATTACAGGAAATGACGTTGGGATGGAATTAAAATTATCGAATTATGATCAGATTGTGATATTAAATTTATTGTAGAGAATTGGAATATGATTGGATTTTTTTTTTTTTTTTTAAGTAAAATTTACGTACGATTGATCGACAAATATCGTTTTGCTTCGTTTTTAACTTACTTTAATCGTTAAGTGCATTTTCAAGTGCATTTAATTCCGGTTATGTGGAAAGTCTCGATCAAGGTTGAAAGTTATGTTACGGTATATCGATACGGTTAATCGGAGCGAAAGCGAATGCGATTCAAAAATGAAATCGACGATATGGATTCCACTGTGTTTACGAGGAAAATAAATATACGTTCGAAAAACGCTTCCACTATTTTATACTCAAACTTTATTATCAATCAATGACGGAAAATATTTTTCCTACAGATAATGGGATTAATTAAAGTGTTATTTTTAATCGTTTATTTTCACATACAATCTCTCGTGCAATGCGAATTCTACTATAATAGAAACGATAAGAATTACGCTTAAATGCACTTCGCTGTGTACCGTATTATCGATACATAATTATACTCATAAATATATATATATACACAATTACAGGGACTGCACTTTACTCCAAATATTGAAATAATAATAATAATATTCAAAATCAATCAAAAATTCATACTTTCAACTTTTCTTCGGGAAAAGTAAAAATTTTTCGAATTTCGCGCTGACTAATCAATTGTCCTAACATCTTCTATCTATATATTCACTCCTTCCAATCACTTTCGATCCCAGACTCGTCTACGATTGGTGCCACCTCCTCCTCCTCCGGTATCTCAACTGGCACCTTAACGGGATAAGGGACTGGCTTCTCTACAGGATAGGGCACAGGTTTAGGTACTTGTACGGGTACTGGCCGCTCGACTGCTACCCTCACCGGTACAGGTACAGGTTTTTCGACAGGATAAGGTACCTCTTTTTCCACCGGATAGGGTGCCGGTACGGGAATTTTCACTTTGACCAAGACAGGTTTATCAACCGGCACAGGTACAGGCCGTGGAACCTTAACTTTCACGGGTACAGGTACCGGTTTATCGACAGGATAAGGAACCGGCTTGGGCACAGGCACGGGATATGGCTTAAGTACTGGTACAGGTATCGGTTGCTCAACCTCGATCTTCACCGGATAGGGTACCCTCTTTTCGACAGGATACGGTTGAACGACCTCTACAGGTACCTTTATCGGTACAGGTATCTTTCGTTCGATGGGGTACGGTTCGGGCACCGGTACTTTTACTTTATAATGGATCTTCTTTTCAACTGGATAAGGTTCAGGAACGTAGACCTTGACAGGCACCGGACGATCCACGGGTACCTGGACCGGGTAAGGTACCTCTTTAATCACTGGCACAGGTTTTGGTATTTTGAGCGGGACCTTGATGAAAACTTTGACCGGATATGGCACCTTCTTCTCCACTGGATAAAGTTGGGGTACCGGCACCTTGACAGGATAAGGCACGTTCTTCACTATCGGATATCGTATCGTTTTCTCTACGGGATAGGGTACAGCTATTTTCTTCACTGTCACCAATTTGTGCGCGTCCTCGTGATGATCTAGAACTTGATCGTTGGAGTGGACTCCAAGCAAGGTTATTTCGTTGCTCTCTGGGACGTAAGTCTTTTCCGTCATCAAAGTTTCTCCGATTTCGATGTGATCGCTGTTGGAAGAGGAGAGCTCTTGAGAATGGTTTCCCGCCTCCGTTTGATGATCTTTTAGAGGCTCTTGGTACGAATTGTCTGTAAATCTCGTCTTAATTAGTTGTTAACATTTCACAGGTATGAAAAGGAAGGGTTTAAGATGATTGATTCGCATACGAATTTGTTCGACCGTCTCCGTCGATCTTGATCCTCGATTTCTGTTCCTTCGAACAGAATCGTCCGTTCTCTCTTGCCTGATATGATAGCTTCGCACTTGCTTCGAGTATCTCTGTGGCCGTACGATCGTAGAATGACAACTTTCCTCGGAATCGAAATCTTGCTCGACAGAATAACCAGAAGACGTCGCCATGAATAGTAGCAGGAGGATCGTTGCATTTATCTGGAAATGGAAATGGAACAAAGAAAAGTTTTTCCAGACCAATTTCACAACGCATCGTGTCCCATTATTTCAAATTTTCAAATATTTTTCACTTCTCTTTCAACGCCACGTACCACGTGATCCATTCTGAATGGATGAATAATAACGATGTCTCCTCAGGGTCGCAGACTCGAGACGCTAGACAGAAGTAAATCAATCTTAGATTCACTAGCTTTTATATATACTCGTTCTCCATCCCTGAGGCTGTGCTCCAAGTTGGATAGATTCACCTAGAGGGGACGCGTTCGCTTTCGCGTATTTTACCGAGAGTGAAACTCTCATCCAGATGAGCCTTCTGGTCAGGAGGAATCGGTTCAAGGAACTTGACTCCTGTCTAGATCGAATCGAGAATCCATAAAGAACTCGATAACTCGATCGACGAACGAGTTCTCTAGTCGAGTATAAGATCGAATCGATCTCTTATGCCTTTTGCGACGTTGCTTTTCCACGATGCTCTGATGATCTCGAAATGTGTTCCACCGCTCGAGAACGATCTTGATGCGAATCGTACACGGAGGAATGAAAGCGAAATTGATATACTTTAAAATTGTAAGTAACGAATTTAAAGGGAATGGAAATCCCGTTAATTGTGATCGCTTTGTTTTAAGATTTCAGAGCACGCGATGATTACGGAACCGTGACCGATTTGATATCGTTTTTTTGTTCTTTGATACCTCTTTTTCATGCCCAATGCATGCTAATTTTTTTTTCCATGCATGCGTTGTTCCAGACATTGCCCATCAGGAGAGAATATTCTTTCTTCTTTTCTATGAATGTGAAAGATATTCTATTTAGCTTATGATGAAATAATTTTGTTTCGTCTTTTTTTTTCTTTCTTAATTTTAAAAAGGTAAAAAATTTATGAAAATTGTAAAATATCAAAATTGTAGAAAGAGAATAGTTATGAAAATTCATTGAGGAAGAGATGAATAATCAAGATATTTAAAATTGTTGTAACGAATCGTAATAATCGATATAATTAATAACTTTCTTTTTTAAAAAGACACTAGTTATGATTAGTAAGTGTGTAAAATTTATTTTCATTGTTGGACAATTTTGTTGGAAATTTTATTATTCCGTAATTCGATTAATACATATAAGGCGAGAATTCATTATTGAAATTGTTATAATTAAATGGAAGTTTCTTTAATGATATGTAAAACACGCTGTGTTGCATTAATTATACCTGTTTATCGTTTGAATAATGATCTAGAGACACGCGAGGCGTTTTGAGTCATTTCTCAGTGAAAAAAAAATGTACTTCGACTAAAGGAATGTTGTTTAATCGCTCCGTATAATTAATATAATTGACTTCGCTTTCGACACGTGCATAATTCTAATCGAAGGATTAAGACAATCGCATTAATAGTGATTTATCGGACATTTTTTCTCTCTTTTGAAGTTTCATAACAAAGCAAAATAACGCGTAGAAAGATTTCAATTTAATTCAATTAAATTTTGGGTCATGGGCATCGTTTATCTCGAATTGAAATATTGTCATTACGTGATTGGTTGATCTGCTTTCATTTTAAATAAACTACTGTAACTACGGTCGATATTGTTTCCCACAATTGATTAAGAGTAACATTTCTTATATAATCGTTCTATCGCTATTTCAAAGTTACGATATACAATTTTGATTCGTGAACGAGATTTAACAAATTCATTTTCAATTAACTGCAATTTAAAACACGTAAAAATATTTATACCGATCATCGTAAAAGTCGCACATCTTGTTTACCGACACTCGTTTCGATTAAAAGTTCGTAAAAGTGTCGAATTACACCATAGCGTTGCAAAGATTCAAATTGAGACGCAACTTCGTAATTAGCAAAATTAACGAGTGAATTCTTGACACTGAGGAAAGAGAAAATATTTCACAAGCTTTAAAAGTGTTAAAAGTCAAAGAGATATTATATATGACACGTGTAAAGAATATATTTCACGATAGAGAAACATAGAAAAGCGAAGCGCACATAACATCATGCGAATAGAAACGCTCCTCAGTTAAGAGTCGCGAAAGGGAAATAGGACTGTTCCGGTCGGACACAAAGGTACAAGTTTCTCTCCCATGACGATCTTTCGTACGAAAGGGAAGTCTCTCTCTCACTTTCAGCCTCGGTCGAAGTCGCGTGCGGTTCGATTGCGTAAGAATCGCTGACTTGTTCGACGGACGAACACGAAGTATGCGATACGTGAGTCAAGTGACTATGCTTGGGCACGGTCGAAGTGGGTCGAAGCGCAAAAAACGGAACTCATTGTTCATTATCACACAAAAAAAAAAAAGGAAAGAAATTTTAATTTCCATTTCTCGACGTGTTATAAAATATTTGTTTGTTCTTAATACGTATATTTAAATTTTTGTTTGCTTTCTTCAAACTTTCGTTCGTTCCTGTTATATGTTTTATCATTATCGATGTATTTAATTTTCGATTCTCTATACTTTCAATTATTTTTAATTCGTTTACATTCCGTATTTATTCGCATTTTCCACTCGATATATTTTAATTATCTGTATATCTGCCATCGTGTATTCTCTCGTGTATCGAACCGGTAGATAAGCCCGAAGAAAATAAATAAGTCAGAGGCGCGATCCATCGACACGCTTGGCCGCTTTCAGGCCGCGAAAAACGTTCTCCGAGCTAACGACGTCGATTAATGATTCTAACGAACGCGTGCGCGATCCATCGAATTATTAATTAAAACAACGCTGTGGTGCGTTTTCAACCATATTATCGAGAGTTCCGAGGAGTTGCACATAGATCGAAATCGTATATAGAAGAATCTTCCAAAGTTGCTTAACGAACGCGCAACAAAGGTAATTGAAGGCTGTTCGTCGATCGTTGCTAAAGTTTCCGGTGCTTCCATCCAACTTCCTCCTAGATAATCACTTTCCCCTCGACGTCCTCTTCGAAACATTTTACGGAATCAATTTTAAATTTACGGTAAAAATTCCTCGTCCGAGTTGTTGATGGAGAGACAAAAAGTAATCGTATCAAATTTAAAACCGTGTATATACGAGGATCGATACATTTCTATCCGAGTAAGAAACTGTACGGGTTTCACGAATTCCTTCTCGACCTTTTCCTCAATTCCGTGGAAAATGGATATGGGTCGAAAAGCAACGAGCTGCATATCGGTGCAAATTACGAGGACACGGGGACGGGTAAGGAGCGATCAAGAGCATCGATTTGGCAGGGACGCGTTGGCAGCGAGAGAATTGGGTCGCCATCCGCGGCTCTACCATCCGATTTGTCGCCGATAGAACACCGATTCTTTTTTTGGTGCGCGAGCGATATTCATAGCCAAAATAACCGAGTTGTCGTTCGGAAAGTTTCTAATGAAAAGTGAAACGTAGGAATTCGCGAAACACGAATTATGTGTCCCTTCCCTTCGATCGAACTAATTCGCGTGGAAAGCGAGCATTCGATCGTGACACACGCATCGCGACATACGACATTCCAACGTTCCTAAAACATCGATCAACAATCGGTGAACAAGAACGGGGAATATCGGTGAGCCGAGCATGAAGAAAATGAAAGTTGAAAGGAAAATTATCGAACCGGTCATGATGTGGTCGAAGGGAATAGCGAAGGAAGGTCAGAGCGAGATGAGAGAGAGAGAGAGAGAGAGAGAGAGAGAAAATTGGTTGAATATTCTTATTACGTTATTAATATTTATAATTCGTATAAAAATACATATATTCTGCTATTTCGGTAGAAAAAAGAAAGATGAGATAAGCGAGCTGTTTATCGAAGGAAGATCACTAAAGATGGGCATCATCCATGAGAATCCGCCGAATCTTCGTATCCGTGACGCGCGTCGCCGTGTTGCGGGACTCGATATACGATCGACCTCGGAGGGACCGGCCTCTGGTACGACGTGTTCGTTACCGGAAGTCCACCCCAGTCGCGATCCAGGTACAAGAAAAAAATAGGTGTGCGCGTGTGTGTGTGTACGTGTGTATCGACCATTGCGTGCCATTATCCAATACTATCCTTTTTCCACTCGTTCGTCTCTCTTCGTTTCTCCGCTGCGTTACCTAAAACTGTTCGTCGATTTGCCCGATGTCGCCCGATTCGACCGACAATGATTCCAACCTTACCGATCCCGACTTAATGATAACCGTGGCCACCCGCCCAGTCGCCGCTGTAACCGTGCTCGTGATGCACCGGAACCGCCACAGGCACCTTGACCGGGACCGGAACAGGCTTCTCGACCGGGTAAGGGACCGGTTTCTCGATATGGACCGGGTACGGTCTGTCGACAGGGACCTTAACTTCGTAGGGAACGGGCTTCTCGACCGGGTAAGGTACAGGCTTCTCGACCGGATACGGCTGCGGGATCGGCACCTTGACCGGGACAGCGACCGGCTTCTCCACCGGGACCGGGTACGGTCTGTCGACCGGCACTTTGACAGCGACCGGCACTGGCTTCTCCACCGGATAGGGTACCGGCTTCTCTATGTGCACAGGGTAAGGTTTGGGCACGGGTATGTGAATCGGCCGATCGACGGGAACCTTGACCGGGACTAATTTCTCCACCGGATACGGAGCTGGCACGTGGACCGGGACTTTGACCGGGACCGGGACTGGTTTCTCGACCGGGTACGGTTGCGGGACCGGTACCTTGACGGGGTAAGGCACGTGCTTCTCCACCGGGTACGGTTGCGGTACCAAAACTTTGACGGGGTACGGGCGGTCGACGGGCACGTGGACCGGGTACGGGACCTTTTTCTCCACGGGGTACGGTTGAGGCACGTGTACGGGAACCTTGACGAGAACCTTGACCGGGTAGGGCTTCTCCACGGGGTACGGTTGAGGTACGGGAACCTTGACGGGGTAAGGCACGTGTTTCTCCACGGGATAGGGCACGGGCTTCTCGACCGGGTATGGGACGGCCACGTTCTTCACCACTGTCAACGTCTTGACGTGCTCGTGTCCACCGTCCAGGCCGTAACCACCGCCGTAGCCACCGTCTCCCAATTCCAGGCCACCGCCGTGGCCGCCGATTCCGATATCGTAGCCACCGTCGTAACTGTACCCGTAACCGAGACCCAACAGGCCGCGTTTCTCTTGTTTCTTCGTCGATTTGTCCTCCACGCCGGCCTCCGCTTTCTCAGCCGCCTTCTCCTCGTCGGCCCGCGCCGATGAAATCAGCAGAGCTATCGTCGTTGCGTAGACCTACAAAACCACATGGAATCGTTAGCGGATCTCGGATCTAGGATCGCTTCGAGAACGAAAGCGATTCTAATGAAACCGGTTGGAAACGGAGATCGCGATATATTTCGAGACCAAAAATCCCTATATATACACGTATCGCGAATTCGCAATTGGAAAAATCGGTTTTCGATCCATTCCGATTTCGCCGGGTATACTCTAGTCTACCCGGATCGAACCACTTTTCGATTTAAGGCTAGTTTGAGGATTCGATTTCCCGGAAGGAAGGAAAAAGTGAGAATTATCCTGAACTCGGAAACTTGGATATCGATCGTCACTGACAGCTCGACGGACGGGAATCATTCACTTGCGGGGACCACGGTCTTTTTGGTCTCGTCTCACTGAATCCCGTTGCTGTTCCGTTTCCTTCTCCTTTCCGTCACACGTACCAGGACTCTCATTTTTGCTCTCGAGATATTCCAGGTGCGTCCAGAAGTGAACTGGATGCTGATTGCCGTTGGTTCGTCGCCTTATATACGCGGCATACTTTCGCCTTCGCCACCCGGGCCCGACACGCCGTACCCCCCACGTTACACCTCTTTGTTCGCGTAGAACGACCACGATCGCCTGCTACCACTCCCCTTTGGGAGACACACGACTCGCCTCCCCACGCCTCTCCGAAACGTCCCTCTCCCTTGCCAACGGTTTCGTTTTCTTCTTCTTCTTCGTCGCCACGGATCCCCCACTTGTTCGGCCCACCTTCCTTTGGTCCCGCTGTTATGCGGATGTCTGTCTGGTGGTACCCCCCCGATGTGCCGTGTCAGTCGTTTCCACCTTTGCTAGATAATTTTGCCTCTATTTTTCTTTCTTTTTTTTTTTTTTTTTTTTTGTTTTTTTCGGACGACGATACACGATTTAATAAGGTATCTTTGGGATGTGCTTCTTAATCTTCTCCCGAACGATGTTGCAGTTTCGAAAAGTCAATTTGTAACGCTTCTCCGTCACACTTGGCGCGAACAAGTTTTAAATGGATTCGTTTATTCTTTTTTTTTTTTTTTTTTTTTTCTTAGGTAATTAGTCGCTTTAAAAGGGATAACGGAAAAATGGAAGAGTTGATTAGATTCGTTAAAGGAAAGAAATAAGAGAAAATCTAATGTGTCAAATGTTGCAAAAAGAAATCTCCCTGTACTGTCGCTACCTCAACTTCCGACTAATGCGTAATTCGCATTCCAACGCGTTGAGAAATATCTCTATTTTCACATCTCCCTCAAATTTCCCGTTTTTTTTTCCCTCGACCCTACGAATTGATCGATTCCATCGAGGATGATGGAACGATCCGCGATATCCGCGTTATTTTTTTACTTTCGCAAGTAAGCGAAATTCGAATTCTCGCAACTGACGGATATTACCCTCCTTTTTTTTTCTTTTTCCTTTCAAACGGATTGGCGATAATCGTCGCACGATAATCGGATCGATGCAATCGCACAGCTCGATCCGATCCTCTTCCCTTTCTCCCTCTTGTTGTTGTGCCGTTCCGTTCCGTTTTCGTCCTTCCTCTCTCGACGCAAGGCAACCTCGACGCGTTACGTGCGCGCGACCGTAGGTGCTCACCCGCAAGGATTTATCCGCCGCCGATCTCGTGGGTGCAACCGTTGCTCCCTTTCATGAGACACGCGGTCCTACGTCACGATTTCCCTCTCTTTTCCCAGCCTGGCCCCGGTTCCGTTTTCTTACGTCGTTCTCACGTCGTGGAAACGCGCCGCCGCTCTTTTCGCGCCGTAATGTGGATCGATGTTTATTCCATTTCCACGCGAGAGATCGTTATGTAACGGGTGCGTGGCGATACGATCGGGGAAACTGATGATCGGCGATGTTTGCGCGAACCTGTTGGGAGGCAGGCGAACGTGTCGATTCGTTCGTATCGGTATCGGTAGAGAGACGAGTTTATTATAATTTTAATTTTATTTTTAAGTAGGAATTTTAAGCGAAACAATTTTACGAAATAATTTTCTTAAAAATGTATTATTGGATACGTATAAATGCAATAATTTCGTGGTGTAACTGGTAAAAGTTTGTGTACTTTTTTTTTTCCAATCTTTTTTATATAATAGAGTGATAAATCACTAAAAATATTTTTTATACATTTATTGAAAAAAGTCATTCCACGTATCCAATCCATATAATAATTATGCTTTTGCATACGTAAGTTTAGTGTAAAAAAAAAAAAAATATTATCGAGTAAATTTCCTATATAAAATGATAATTTTCTCGCGAGGTAAAAGAAAGGCGAGCCTAGAGCTCGGATAATCGAAAATTAATCGATAAATAAGGTATAAAGTATCGATTAGCAATTAAATTATCCGTGCTGAATCGAGACGAGATTCTTCAGACAGATATTAAGCAATTTTGGCTTAATAAGTATCAACTATAACTAATTTCCACGTTCGGCGCGAAGATGGACGATGATTGAAAAATATTCTCTGTACAAGGATAAGATTTGAAAGTGGGATCCGTCGTGTCTATGTCGATTGAAATATTATCTAACGCGAGAGAAATACTAAAGATCAAAATTTTATGATTCCCCGACCACGATATTAAACTTTGGTACATGTTTCGATTTTTTTTTTTTTTTTTTTTTTTTTTTTTCTTCTTTTTCCGAAACGACCACGCGGATACGCGTGAATCCAATCATTGACAGCGAAGGTTTCTCTCCTTCCATTCTACCACTCTCAACTCATTTTCATTACCTTGGACAGCAGATAATACTTCTATCTTCGATTCTTAGAGGCTGGCTTAACTTGGATTTTTATCTCGGTTAGCCACACGTGGGTAGAATTCAAAGGTCAATCGATAAAGATTCGGAGATACGAGTATTCTCGGCTCCGCGTAATCACTCCACGCAGAGAGTTTTATATCCTTTCGTTCAATTTCACCTTCTTTGGTCACGTTCAAGCGTAATAACCATCGATTTGAATCTTTTTCTCTTCTCCTCTTTCACCGATTCCACCGGCGAAAGAAATTTTTCTGATTTTCTCAAGGATGCCTTGAAACAAGGATCCCTTCAGCGTCCCTCCCGTTGTTAACGTTTCAATTGTACATCTTTTATTCCGCTTTCATAGAAGCGGAATGTAAAATTGGAACTGTGTCGCGTGTTATCCTTTCCTTGCTCGATTATTCTTGATTAATAGTCAACCTCGCGTGCGAGATGAGGAGACAGACGGAGGCGGACAGCGATTTAACGCCTCGCTTTCTGCATAAACATTTATAGAAACTCATCGGCATTTGCATCAATCGTGCAAGAGATAAAGCATAAGACAAATTCAAAGATGGAAATCGGCGTGTACCAGTTTAATAGAACGGAATTTTATCGTGGTATAATTCTCTCTTCGTAACTTGTGTGGATCACGCTACATCCAGTTGATAAATTTTTTTATAAAAATATATAAATACTCTTCAAAAATTAAAATTGTTTCTTTCGATATACACGGTGGGCAGTAATGCGATCATAAATTCTTAACAGATATCGATCTTTTTACCTCGATCAAACTGAACAACTTCGTCGAAAACGATATCGATTCAAGTTTGACTCGATTAATCATTCTACATTTGAACACGAGAAGAAGAAAGACAGCTACCAATATTGTTCGAACAAGATTATTACATCGATGCAGAAATTTTCGACGAGTCAAAAAAAAAAGTTATTAATCAACGAAAACGATAAAACGGTTCGATATAAATCAGAGGGGGACAGAGATATTTCTCCCACATTCTCTATTAAAATAAAGCAAATCATCGATGAAAGCGATGTCGCGCGAAAGCGAAAACGGGGAGGGGGGGGAATCTCGGTCGTAAAACCCACGGCGTGTAATTACGCTCGTTATGAAACTATCGAACGGCCCCTCCGGCCGAGATGGCGGGCGACATTCCTCTCTTTCCCGATCGTGAACAATTTCCAAGAGGAAGGAAACGCGGCCATCTTTCGAGACGGAAAGTTGACGGATCTGTGGATCGTTAGAACAACAACGATCCAGAAAAGAATCGTCCTCGCGTTTATTACGTAAAGGTCGTCATGATGAAGAGTCTCGTTTTCAAACTTGCTCTCCTCTCTCGCTTTCATCGCGTTACCTTTCTCGGAGAGAAGATCTATCCGAGGAGGAGGAAGAGGAGGAACAAGCACGATCTTCACGTGCCGTTGAAAGGAATCCTCCTGAGCGGCGAATCGACCTCGTTGACACTGACCTTGACGATCAGATGTGTCGTCGTTTCTTCGAAAAGATGGGTCATCGTCGTTAAACCGATCGTTCGATCGATTACCTTGATTTTTCCTCCTTCTAGGTTACTCATTAATTTTCAAATTGTCATGTTTTTGGTTGCAAATGGTGAATTCGATTGATATCTGGAGGATGAGATACATCGATATATATATATATATCCTTGATGGATTGTCGAAGAAATCATAGGACACGCGGTAAAATTCGTTTATATTTTACAGGAATTTCGTGGCAGGGGTTCTTCAGTTCCAACTGTATCGCGCGTTGTGTCAGGCCGCTGGACAAAGGAGCGTGGACGATTTTAGGAGGCCTCTGCACAGGTGCGACTTCTACAGAAGCCCGGAAGCTGGAAGAATTTTAGGGTGAGTTTTCTTTTCCTTCTTAATAAATTAAATACACATTTGATTAGTATTATTAAACGATATATTAAACAGTTTTAAATATATTTTTGTAACAGTGGTGAGATGTGAGATAACGAGATAAAAATGATTTACGATCCGAGAGATGGATAAAATTTTATCACAATTCCATCAGAGATTCACGAAAGCGAGAAATCCTTGAATCGTATACGAGAAAATGTTCGATCGCAAGATTGTTAGGTAACCACCGAAACCTCGTATAATTTCTTGGTAAAAAGGCGAGCTCCGTTTGCCAGAAATATATTTCGAGCGGACTTCGTTATTAACTCGTCGTTATAACTTTAACGAAAAGCGAAACGACTTTCTCAACGACATGATAAATACCCACCGAGCATATAATTGTTTCTCCTCCATCGTGAATAACATCAACGAAAAACGTTGGCTTTAACGTCCGGTCTCGCGAAAAATGCAGAAAATATAGAGTGGTGAAAAGAGGGGGGGGAAAGGAGGATCGAAAGGTGGCAAAAACAGGGTTAAAATGCGTCGTGGAACGTGTAATTAACGAGATTGACGAGGAAACGGCACGAAAACCGTCTGTGAACGATTTCTCGAGGATCCCTGTTAGCGAATCTGAATAATCGTGCCGTTTGGACTCGGCCTCGTTCATAGAAAGTCCATAAGATCGACGATATAACGATTAAATAATCGATAGAAAAAATTCCGGTTTCGCAAACCAGTGTACTTTCCCTTCTCGATATGCCCCCCCCTTTCTCCCCCCTTTGATGATCATCGATGGATCATTTTAAGATGTTACGGTTGTGATGTATCGCGGATCGTTTTCAGATATTATTTAAATCGAAAATTATTCGCTTTACGAATATAATTTTTTTTTTTTTTTACGAATGAATATTTCGAGGATACGTAATGGATTAAACGAGATGATATGTTTTCTTAATACACTGTATATAAATGTTGATTGGTTATTTTTCAATGATAAAAACTATAATTAAGTTATTTGTGATAAAAGATATTGTTATTTTAAAAGATAATTGAATTTTGTAAAAATTGCACGAAAGACAGGCGAAGACGCGAAAAGATATTTCATCAAGAAATTAATAATTGACGATTTATTTGAAATAATCGAGTTACGAGACGATATCACCCTATATAATTTAATGAAACGAACATTTCCTCTGCATTCCTTTTATTGATGAATGTTAGATAATATATTTCTCGATTTCTAAGTCATGTTTCTTCACGTGGAGGAGAAAATGACGCTTGTTTTTTGCCAGTTAGGGAATTCCGAAAGGAATATCTTTTAAAATATTTTTACATTGATTTAATAACAAGCTCGATTCTAAATTTACCGAGACTTTTTCCAGCGGATGGAAGAAATATTTGACGCGTGTAAACCCGCGTAAAACTGCATCGAGAGTATATGGAAAAGAACAGTTTCGTTTCGTTGAATATTTAAATTCGGGAAAAGAATTCGAAGAATTCTCAAGATTCGAAGATTCTTTCATTAAATATTCCAAGATAATGAAACGAAAAATTTCTTTGCGCGCGAGACATATTCGAAGTTGAATTCAACGTTATTTTCGTAATTTTCCTTGATCGTAAGTTGCGTAATCCGAAAAGAATTTCGGATTTACCTGGTTAAATCAGACGACAGACGCGCGGACAAATTGGCGAAGAATCTCTCGCCGAAAATGTTCTGACCTGATTAAAATTCAAGGCTTGACGCCAAAAATTTTCCACGTGCATGGATACTTTTGATCGTGTATATTCCACTATCCACGATGTTAACGTTAAAAATTTGAATTGAACGATTCAATTTTTATTTTTTGATAATAATTTTAAAAAAGTAATTAAAATTCGACGATCGGTTGAACTTATTTCACGCGTTTGAATCTTTTACGATAGAGGTACAAAGTTGTACGAAATTTTGTACGAAACTTTTTCGTTTCTATTTCTATTCTCTAAATTTTTCGTCAAAGATGACGAAACGAGAGGAGAAAGAGATATCCAGAATTCCGTAATCTTTGTTAAATGAACAGCGATGAAGATACGAACCGAATCTTGAAAGAAACAGCCCTATTACTTTATAAAATTGCGTCGTGGATCGCTTACGTGAACGAACGATCGATTGCGAAAAACTTATACGTGAGAGTTGAAAAATCGTCGTGTCATCCGTCGTGATATTATCGGCTACTTCAATTTCTCGCGAATCATATTACGACAATATCGTACCTTCGATGTTGCAAACGGTCGCATTAACCCTGAATAAAACTCGAAGGAATAAAGTATTTTGTAAAATGGAGAGACGGTTATAATGAGAGATCGTATAAATCGGTTGACGTGTAAACGAGAAGGATCGAATTTCTTCGAATTTTTTACTCGTATTCATTTAACTGTTATAATAAAAAAAAAAATACGAAAATTAAATTAAATTAAATTTCTCTCTCTGTCTTCGAGAGTAGGCCACATAGATTTCAACTATTTGAAAGTGATATATTATTTGCTCGTGTAGGCTGCTACATGTGAAACTTTGTCACAAAAATCAATATTATGCATCTTCGATTCGAGAAATTTTAAAATTTTATCGATATCTTTTTCTTTTTCTTTTTTCTTAAAACTATCATGATCACGTCAGTGTTGAAAAAATTTCATTGATTAATCTATAGAAATCGATCCATAGAAAAATATTTCTCTAAAGCGCAATTTTTTTATTTTTCCTTCCGTTATAAAACATCTGTGAGATTCATATAATAACACATCTATCTTTTTTTTTCAATTTAAATTTTTTCCCATCGGATGAAAAAGATTTTCTTTTTTTACGATTGTATGATTAATCTTTTCGTCTCGAAAAATAAGAAAAATATAATAGCAACCTCTTCTCGTTTGTAATTGTTAATCAATTACGCGCTCGAGCACTTTCACTGGCCTCGCGAGGAGAGAACGAACAAATAGACCACATGGGACATTTATCGAACGAAGAACACCGGCACAAGAGATGGCAAGAAAAACCGCATACGAATCCATGCGTGTAACGTGTAAGAATTCATAAGTTGTAAATCATTCGGGACACTCAATATCATTCGTGAAAAAATCCGTTTAACGATACGAAAGATATTCCATGTATCGTTGAAATGAAAAAAAAAAATCCTCGTAGAGAAACTTGTATTATATAAATTAAATATAAATTAAAAAGTAATATTGGATTATCCAGTATGCAGCGAATTCTCAAAATTGAAATTCTCTTTTTCTTATATTCTTTTGTTAAATTACGGATTAAAACCAATTATTAGATGGACAGATTCAAATTTTCTGATAAAAAGAAGAGGAAAATGGCAGATATTAGAAGAGATATAACCATATGCAGATTATCGAAGAACGAAGGAACGATCTTGGAAAGGTCTGAAAAAGAAATTTTCCTTCTGATATAAGGCGCGTGGGTGTACACAGAGGTCGAAGATATCGCGTGGAAGATACAATCGGAAAAGACCTATTATATCGATCTTGCAGCGATCCGATCCCTTAACAATCTCCGGTAGTGAACGTAATCTGGGTCAACAGGAGGAAAACCTTTGTTCGCGTTCGCCAATTTCATTGCCAATTCGATATTCGGTTCCTTGACTTCTCCATCCAGTGGATCCATCAATATTAATTTCGAGTTTTAATTCAAATTATCTTTGGATTAAATTCTGATCTTTTTAAATCGTTATAATCGCCGCGATTTAAACACTTTTAAGTAATATCGTACAAGTATTATAAATGATTAACGATAACTTGTGATAGATATATCTGTCACATTCTTTAAAAGATTCCTTAAAAATTCGATAAAACGTTTCGAATTCTTTTTTTTTTTTTCGCGATTCGATACTTAAATGGAAATATCAGAAACTTAAACGATGGCACGCGGCAGCTTTCGTTTCCTCGTGAGTGGCGAAATGAAGAAATATCCGAGGAACGAGCAATTAAAGCCGATGCAGCTGTCAGTACACGAAACCAGCGATAATAAATCGCCTCTATCGCTTGGGAGAATCTGCAACTGATTTCTGCCTCGAAGAAATTATCCATTTAACAGTAGCTTAATGCGCATTCTCCGCTCGATTATGAAATTTTACTCTTAAACTGATTGCGCAACGAGAACAGCGTACGTTTTCGAAGAAGATGGATCGTTCGAGTTCTAATCAATTTCCTATTATTCCCGTTCCAACATTTTTTTTTATTTTTTCCCGCTTTTAGTTTCACGCCTCTACGTGGCATGCGTAGTAGCACTTCGATCGAAATTCATCAAGCCAATTCACGCGCGCGTTCTTTTTGTCGTGAAAAAAAAAAAAAAAACTCGCGTTGCTCTAATTACTTCTACGTGAAGAATAAACTGCTAATATTCATTTTTTAGTCGCAAGATTTTTTTTTCAGAGAAAGAAAAATCGTTCTCTCTTATGAAAAAAAAAAAAAAAAAAAAAAAAGGAATATTCGAATTTGCATCTATGGCGCGATTCGATCAATAGATCGAAATCAGCTGGACGATTTCGTCCAAAGACCCGACTTCCTGTAACCGAAGGACGATCTCTCGCAGCTTGCGGACGCAGTTACGAAACCGATTGCAGCCGCGTAAAAACACGCGCGTGTCTCGTACACGCAGTTGCACGAAGAAACTGGCGCGGTGAGGCTCGTTACCCGTTCCACTTCCGTTTTGTAATTTTATTCTCGTCTGCAGGAAATAGAAGAGGAAGATTGAAAAAAGAACGAGAACCGATATATATTTCAGGAAAGGATTTCTTCACTTCCTGAAAACTTATCCATTATGACTCGTTTGAAATTCGATGATGGATAGAAATTTTTATTTATTTATTTATTTATTTATTTATTTTTCTTCTCTCTTTTTTTTTTTTTTAATTATGGAAAGCGGTTCGAGAAGCATTAAGCACGATTTCACGTGCGCAATTTGCGAACGAAGAATTTGCTCGAGTTCTTCAGATGATGAAGGTAATTGGGTGAAGAGAACAGGTATTTTTGATTATTATACTCGTCCCTCTCTTACGTAAAACGATAATTTTAACCATCTTTTTTACATGTTTATTAATGACGATAATAATCGCGACAACTGTAATTATCCGATCGGGGAACGAGATTATTTATACGAGTGTGAAACATCGTATATACGATACAAGTGTAACAAATTACTTGTACACACACAGTGAAAATTATCTCTATACCGACGAAATGCATTACATAGTGACTACCTGGATATCTATTATATTTAATATTTCAGAGAAAAACCGTTTTGTGGATTCTTATTATTTCTAAAAGAAACATCAAATGGAGAAATATGTCTTTTATTATATATAGAAAAACCTCGTTATGTGAGCCCGCTTGTTTCCCCGGCCAGTTCGTAAAAACAAAGTTCTATGGTATTACGAATTACTAGCACATAATTCACACTCAACCACGTTACGGAACACGCCGAGAAATCGTTTTACGATTATTAAAATTCAGAGATTACAAACGATCCGACCGATTCCATCCAATTACACAACTCCACGACGGTCGATCGACGAATCCGATTAAACAGAAATCGATTGAAATTTATGCAAATGGATGATTCGTCCTTGGCACCGGTGCATCGGCGTTTCGAAAGCGCCTCAGGTTGAGCAACCGGTCGTGCCCGCCGTGCGAAAAGCATTTTTCAAAAAAACATTTGACGGGATCAAGTTCAACGTGCATTTGTTAATCGAAAAACTCCATTTCCATTAATTACTATTCAAAAATAATATTTCGTTCACGAATTAAAATAATTAAAATAATTGTTCACTTCTGAAAAATGTCACGAATTTCCCAAATTCGAAATTCCACTTAGAAACATCGTTTCTCTTTCTTTTTCAAGATTTTTCATAAAGGATTCTCTCAATTTTTCAATTTTTGAATTGATTCCATCGCACCTTGTGTGTCTGAACGATCGAGATTCCGTCAAGATCCTCTGGCAAAACCGATCGAATCCTTGGTCAAATGACGCGCGTTTCCCACACCACGGTGTCAAGGTTCACCCTTAAAACAACGGTAGAAGAACGGCAGCGAGACTCGTGACTCGATTTCACGGCGAGGAGGAGAATGGAAGCGAGTTTCGTTTCGGGATCCCCAATTGGGAAGACAAGACGGGGGAGTGTTGCTTGGTCGAGGCTTGGAAGGAATATGCAGCTAAGCTCTCGAGTAATCCAGAACCCTTCGTCAAATTTCGAAGGATCAATATCGCTATGGCAACACTAGAGCGAAAATTCTTGCGTTGGAAAGTTAGACGAACGTGCTAGACCAAGTGCTCTTCTTTCTTTCGATTTCGGCTCGATCGATTCGATGCCAATACCGTAACGTTGAACAAACTTCGTTCAACGTTTATCGAAAGCGAGGTTACAAGGTTTCAAAATTGGTTTGAAATTTTTCACTATCGTCAAAAAATTTTCAGAATCGTGAATCGTGGATCTACGCAGCGACGTGTTAAATACAAGTAGAACCAGCATCCCGAGGGTATTGCGAAATGTAGGTAGGTCGGGGCAGGAAAGTGGCGATTTCGTTATGAGCGGAAATTGTGAGATCGAAACAAATTGCAATACCGGGGGGCAATACCGAAATATTTTTGCTCGTCGATTCCCACGGGAGGCGTGGCCTGCTCTCGAAGGAACCGGAAACGAGCTACACCGCGCGACCTGCATCCGAAATCACTTTCCAAAAAAAAAAAAAAAAAAAAGTTGTTATATCACGAGGCTGGCGTCGCGACGGTCACTTTTCACTTTCGTGAAATCGACCCTGCACTTTCCACTTCTTTGCCGTTTTTCGCCAAAAAAAAATTATTCGACTCATATTCGCGAGTGGAGGATTACTCGTTCTCTCTTCTTCGATGAAGCCAAAACGCGATGTTATGATTATATATTTCTTCTTTCAAAACAAATTTCGTTTCTCGGATTCTACTTTCTCGGATTGAATCGCGCTTCCTCGATTTCATCCGCGTCGCTCTGTGGTTTCTGATGGCCGTAGTCGAAACGCGAGAACTGCGACAAACGTAGTGTAAAATCGCGAGCTTCGACAACTCGATCCCACCCTCTTACGCAAGAGATATCTCGCGTTTACGATTCATCCGTGGAAAGGCCGCCGATCGAACAAATCCTCCCCTCCCCCTACGGTTAGATTAAGTTCGTTTTATGTAACGAACTCGTAGTCGGGGCAAGCAGAATTACGTGTATCGGCTGTCTCGGATCGGCAAAGGAAGCAGGAAAGGAATTGGACGGGAGGTAAAAGAAGCTCGAACAACAACGAAACTCTCCCCTGATCACGTAACTCGATCGGATGACGATTTTTCTTTTCTACGGTTCTCTCTTTGCTCTCGGAAGTAAGAGAAAAAGTTTGGTCGAGTTTTCTCTCTCTCTCTCTCTCTCTCTCTCTCTCTCTCTCTCTCTCTCTCTCTCTCTCTCTAGGGCCATGGCTGGATGGCAATGTCGTAAGGAAGATATTTCGATCCATCGACAGAATTTCTGTCTCGTTGCTCCATATTTCCGCCCCATTGTATTTAAATGGACATCTGGCCGATTCCGAGATTGTCTTTTTCGCCTCATAATCTTTCTCCTGTTGGCCATTGTGTCGACAATCGTGCAGAGCGTGCTTTATTCCTGGTTGTGTCGCAAGAAGTAATAATAGTTTTCACGGAGGAAATATATCGGATATTTATACGTATATAAAAAGTCGAAAGGGTGATAATATTTTTATTAAATCGAACTTAAAGATCGAAGATGGTATATTTTAGATGAAAAATTAGGAATCTGAGATTCCTAAGAGATCTGAGAGTCGTCTGACGAATAGGAATAGTTAACAGATTACTCAGAAATGACATAAGATTCTCGACAATGGAGGATTGTGGCAATCGAAAGCAAAGAAGTGCGTTCACATGGAAACGGCTAAGATTAAATCACCGATAAACCATGAAGGGAATTGAACGAGATTATTACTCTAAACTGTTATGGACACGTCACGATCGATTTCGATGAAGTCACGCGGCGCAAATTAATATTAGAAAAGAACAAATAAAACCACGATCCACTATCCTTCATTCTCGGATTACGTATTGTCTCGAAAACTTTTTTCTTTTTTTCTTTCTTTTTAATCTTCGAGGAAGAATTTTTTCGAAAGCCTTAAAATTCGTATCTCAGCCTTATTGCAATGTCTTTCCCGCCGTTGTTTCTTGCCACATTGTTGCACGAGTCAGAATTAATTCGACATCGTAACTCATATGAACGAGCAAAAGTTGCTGCACACCCATCGTGAAATCGAGCGAGCGGCAATCGAACGCGTTTCGAGCGGATTCAAAGCGCGGCTGATTGCCAAAGATAGTCTAATTAATGCATTGGAAAGAAAGGCTCGTTACACGTTCATTATTTTCCTCTCGTCCCACAATTCTACGCGCGATTTTCCTCGCCCTCGATTTTTCGAATCGTGCGCCATTATGTATTTTTCTTTTCTTTCCTTTTTTTTTTTTTTTTTTTTGCACACGATAATAATCTCCGTTGAATAGCACGAATAACGGGCTTCAGTTTCACGGGTATGTTGCGTTTTCCTTTCTACTGATTTTCACTCGTTCAATTTCGCGGAGAAGTGCAATCTTTGCGCGGTTGTTGTTCGCAGAAAAATCATGGAGAGGGGCTCCTCGGTGCCTTGGCAGGAGACGCTTCAAGAAGCCATCGGTGAGGACAGATTGGACGCGACTGCCCTCAGAGAATACTTCAGGCCCCTCGAAGATTGGCTGAGAACGGAAAACTTGAGGACCGGCGACGTGGTCGGATGGTCTTACGGTAAGAACTCGTTCATATTTGCTTCTTTAATTTCTATCTCCATTCGTCATATTTCCATCATTTCATAACGTGTAATTTGTAAACGTGTTATGCTCTGGAACGTCGAAGATATAAATCAGATTCTTGCAAGATTCTTTTTCTAACATTTAAATAACTTGCAATTTTCTCTTTCCATATGATAGATAGAAGGTAAAATTCTAAAAATCATTGGCTGGAAATTTTTCTTAAACAGATTTTCTAAGTGTCATCTAAAAAAAAAATCTTGATTCTTAGAAATCTCCAATGTTTTCCAATTTTATTTTGCAATAATTAAATCCACGTATATTTACGTAATAAATTTATCAACGATTAAATTTGGTAAAAAAAGAAAATACATAAGTAGCTATATACTAATAACTGTCAAAAATTGAACTGAAAATAATCGTGACAATCCAGAGAACGCGTTACTCGACTCTAGCAACAAATATATCGCATAAGAAGATACAGAAATATGTGGAAACAGTGTCGATATTTTTTACGAAATGATACGAGAGTAAATTATCGAAAACGTCTAATCAAGAACGATCATTAATTTCACACTTTCTTAAATTTATTCAAGACTCGTTCGCCTTTCGATTCCGCGTCCAGGTATACGGATTTTTTTTTTTTTTTTCTATATTCCTTTTATCGATTCTCCTTTTCTTTCTTCCTACGCGTGTATACGACTGGTCAGAAACAAGGAACCGATTCACGCGACAAGCCACGATCGATACACGGGTACGCGCCAGCTACCCGGTTCCTTTCATCGTAACTTGTTACAAATTATGCAATTTCCTACCGTAACAGATTGAAGGTTGCAGTTCCCACGTGCCAGTTACCGTTGGGAGCGCTACAAATATTCATCGTGTGACGACATTCGGCTGAATTACGATCCGTAACGGGGCGAAATTATCGGGATTGGTTGACGTTACATCTTCCAGAGTGTGGAGGCTGTTGCCAAATTGGCGAACGGTGTTGCGTAGAATGGGCTACACTATCGCCCAAAAATTTGGAATCGCCGAATTTCAAAGGATGCTTCACGAAAATTTAAAAAGAAAAAAAAAAGTCGTACTAAAACTTTAATGGCGCGGAAAAATGTAAAAGGTATATGTAAAAGTTAATTATAATCGAAATTGTTGGTATTTGGTGTAGCGTTAATTTGCTAAAAAAAGAAAAAATAAAGAAAAAATTAATCAAGAAGATTGGAAAAGTGGTCTCGAACTTTTTACCGATACTGTACGCATATAAACATTAGAGAAATATTAATGGAAAGAAAAAGAATGCACGAGATGGTTTCGTGGTTGATGGGTTATTAATTATCCAGACGATTATCTAACATCGAGAATCGTAACTTTGATTGATCGCTCTTCTTACTGACCACATACTGACCGATTAAATCGTGAAAGCATTTTGTCTGAAACTCCATTAGATCGTCCATCGTTCTCTCGTTCTAAGTGGTTCTCTTAAGATAATAATATAGATTTTTCAATCGTTCTTTGGAACTCCATTGACGAGTTAAAAAAGTAAACTGGTTAAAATAAAATTTTCTTTATAATCATTTATTAAAATTATTCGATAATTTCGAACAATGAATTATTGAAGCAACTTTATTTTAAACTTCAACCAATTTCAAATTTTCCCCGTTCACGAAGAGGGAAAAGATATTTCTGGAATTCGCATGCAGCGGAAAGCGTCACGATTATTTCCGCGTTACGGATCGTAAAGAGGTAGAGTTCAATTATGCCACGGTTAGCGAAGTTCTGGCCCCGTGGGACTGGCGGATTGCGAAATCGGAGTAGAAAGAGAAAAGAAGGCGAGCATGGGCCGTAAGAAGGGAGAAGGATGGTTGTCTCGCAGAAGGAGAGAGACGTATCGAATCGTGAGACACGTTCGACGATTCTACTCTCGTTTCCATTCCACGTTGCACCTCGAAACCTGTCAATTTGCCTCGCGAACCTACAGGCTAATTCAGAGATACGTGTCATTACTTCGAGAGGTACAAAGTGAATAAAAAGTTTCGTATATATATATATATTACGTTACGAAGAAATGGACGTAAAAATGGATTTGAGATTTATTTGAGGAAATACATAATACTTTATTTATTTTTGAGTACTCAATACGAAAGAAACAGAGAGAGAGTTTTATTCTTTAAGTGTATTCACATAAGTAAGTAAATATCGATACATATTTCTGAATCTCCCTGTACATACACGTAACACGATTTCTCGATCACACTCGCCACACTTCGTTCCTCCGCTTCTTTCTCGAGATGAATATCGATATTCGATAATGGAAATCAGTCAGATTTTGAAACAGTTATCGATTCATTTCGAAACGGGAGAAAAATCGGAAACCGGCCTCGCCTGACTTGACGGGTTAGGAGGAAAAATGACCCGTTTCCGAGAAGCGATCGCGATGGAAAGCGCGGATGTACGTGACTCCGCGCGCGTTACGAGGAGAAAGAGCACGCGCCGATTGTCGATCACAATTTTCTCTGTCGATCGGCGGTACCTCGATGCCATCACTCTTTCCTTCCTTCCCCGTTGATTCTCGATTTCCTTGGAAAGAAACGACTCCGTAATCGCCCTCCCGATTTCGTACACGCCGCTTTCCACGCCGTATCAAAGGAGAAAGCATTTCTACACCTTTCTACACCGATCTTGTACGCAAGATCTTTTTCTTTATTTCCTTGCCCGTCTATATATAATTTGCATAACCGTGATCGAAACTGTGACGTAAATTCGCTTAAATTGATTATATATTAGATCCTGGTGGGGCGGTCGGTTAATTGGAGCGCGAAATCGATTCGAATCGTCAGATAAATTAGCTTAATTAACGAAAATGGTTAAGCGTGAGATCGTGGGATGAGAATCGATGACGAAAGATTTTTCGATTGATCGAAAAGAACGCAAATGGAATCGAGAGGACACGTCACTTCGTTCGAAAGGGGGAAACGGTACCTGTTCCACTTACTTTGCTTTCCTCGACGAGATTTTTTTCTTCCTTTTTCTTTTTGTTTTTGTCTTAATCTCGATGGCTGGGTTTTTAGAACGATTCGTTCTCCTCTCCCTCGCCCTCCAGCCGTGAATGATCTATCGATCTATCCGCGACCCGTTCTCCTTGCGCTTTAACCTATTACAACCGCCTCGGTCTCCGTTTGGTGACCAAGAAACGATATAAATTTTATGGTATTGATATTGATTTAGATCCGTCGGATTTAGACCCGAGAGAGAGTTCAGTCGAGTTCCCTTTATGAGAAGGAGAAATAAATAAAGTAAATGATCGTTACGCAACGCTGCTCTACTAAAATAATTGTAAATTGAGACTCGATATAATTGATGGTCTGTTATAGTTAATTAGAATTATATGTTTCCATGCGTATCTATAATATTGTTCAATTTACAAGCCAACTTACTCAAGAACATTCTTGAGAAAGTTGTCACGAGATTGTGTACTTACATGTATATCTTGCAGTTATTTATTTCTCTTTGATTTATTGATATACAGGATGTTATTACAATATAATATATCATATATATTCTTGGAATGTTTAGAAATAAAAAATTGCTTTCAATTTACAAAGTTACAAATTTTATATTTCGATCTTTATAAAAGATGTTCCACAAATATATAAACGTCCTGTATAATTCTTGTCAAGCCTGATGAACGAAGTCTCGATGATTAAAAACTAATTGAATCTGTGTTCGTTTCCTTTTTTTTTTTTTTTTTTTTGTTTATCTTTTTCAATATAATAATCGGCCTCCATCGTTCCCTTCAATCCTTTATTCTTTTTTATTACTCTCATTTCCCGGTCCCTGCAATTTACACCGGATCGCCTGGAGCAACAATTCCTCCAACGAAAACAGATATCACTCGAAGCTGTTTCGTCGGCGTAATAACAATAACCATAACCAGATATCACTGTTTCATGATCGTGTAACCGTGGATTACGATTGCAGACGGAGATTATTGCAAGCGCAGCATCGAGACCGCCGGTCTCCAAGTCTATGGAAGCGGATTCTACAACGGCGGCGTTTCGTTCACCACTACGAAAGCTACTTTACCGGCGATTTTTTCGATCCTACTCACAATTTTGATACTTTGTTAAGGAAGAAATGTGTGGAACAGTGGGTAAAGCTTCCACGAGATCGAGATCGTTTAAGGATATTTTTTTCCGGCAAGAACGATCGATACTTTCATTACAGGAGCCAAACCAGAAACCAAACAGAACACCAAAATATTATAGGATTCTTGTTAAATACTTGTAAAATATAATAAATAAATCACGCGATTTTTAGGTGAAATATTCCTCGTTTGAAAGATATATTTATAATAATTGAGACAAATCGATCATCATATAACACATAAGTAACAAATGCTTTTTCCATGGAAAATTATATTTGCCAATCTATTTCTTCGAAAGAAAAAAAGAACTAAACGTTTTTTTCTGCATCAAAGCTTCGATAAATATTTCAGAATCTTTTGAAATTTTTCTCAAAATCTAAAAAGAAACGAGAAAGAATCAGAGTATAATTGGTCATAGAGGAATCAAACGAGGAATAACCGAAATAGTCGCACTGTTACAATTGTTATTACTGTAAGTATCCATTATTAATTTAACCACGATTCATAACGTGGCAATAGTACGCGTGCAATTAAGCTGATGTGCGAGCATAAATCGTTTCAGCGTGTCGAAAGGGTCGCTCTCGCGTCGCATACGTTGAAAAGCGACACGGCCTCTCCGTTTAATAAAGGAAAAGAGATTTACATCCTTCGTCGTTAAAACGTTCGTCCCGCTATGCCTTCGAGACAGATACGAGTTGATGCTATTTTTAGCTCCGAAAGCTCGAGCTTGACTCGACGTGTACACGTTTGGTTGTAAATACGTTTATCAGTCGGACGAGATGTCGAACACAATGGAATGATGTTCGAAATAATCGAGAAACGCGATTGTTGTTGTGTTATATTTCGAGAAGAATAATGGAATAATTTTGATTACTTAGAATATTATTTATAGATCCTTCTTCTCAATCTTCTTCCTCGAATCGTCTCGAATGTGATTTGAAAGTGCGAAGGCATTACTTTCAATCTTTTTCTTGCTCGTTGAAAATTGAAAGTAATATTAAAATAACACAATGTTATTATTATGTACGCTATTTCTGGATTCTAGATCCTAGGTTCGATAATAAGTCTACGGATACTGGAGTCTCCACTGGGATATCGAAATGGATCGAATTAACGAAGAAATAAGCTCGTTCCCGTAATTGCGTTTGTAAGTTCGTAAAGGCACATTGTGAAGGCACTGTACGTAATTGGGAGATATGTTTCAATCTCAAACGAAAACAAGCCTTGGCCAACGATCACGTTACAATTATCGTTACAATTATTTTCAGTGAGTAAAAAAAGAATCTATATTCCGTTTACAGTATGTGCGTTTTATTTATCGATCGTCGAATGAGTCGTTAACCCTTGTGTGAATTATTATCATTTAAATATAAGATCTTTCTCTTTTTCATCTGATAATTTTGAAAGATCCAAAAGTGTAATGTTTAAAAGTTTGATAGAATTTTATTAGTGAAAAATTATGGAAGTTTTGGGTATCGACGTAAGGGTTAAGGCGAGTTATTTTTACATAATATTCATAGAGAGAGAGAGTAAATAATAATAAGAGAGAATGTAAACACAAAACCATTAAAATAAGCTTTAAATAAATTTTTAGCACCGAGTTATTTACAGATTCATAAGGGATGTTGCAAGCCGAACAAGTTCGAAATATCACGCACGAAGAAAGAAAGAGATACTTTCGATACTTTTTTTTTTTTTTTTTTCTTTCTTTCTTTCTTTTATTATCTTTCCATCCACAAAGAGATCCTGCCGTCCAGAACCCATTATTCCCGACTTTCGCGGCTCTCGAGAGGATCGTCGAATAAAAGTCGTTTGACTGCGGGGAACCGAAATTGCTTTGCAGAATTGTGTAATTAAGAAGCCGCTCTATAATGTATAATCACTTATCCGACCCATGAAAATTGTAATTCCACGGAGAACGACTTCATTTAACGAACCTCTTTATTGACGATTTGTACAAATTCAAAAATCACGACAAATTAGCTCGTAAATTTATATAACCTTTCTTTCCAATCTTTTCGCTTCGCATGGGATAACATTTACAGCGATCAAGATTTAATTTAATAAGAATTTTTCATACATACCGACGTTCCCACGTAAGAATTATTATATATCCTTTATATATCCTTCAACATCGATTAAACAATCGTTCTACGAGCGTAACAGATTTATCATTGGCACGATGTAAAACGTGAATTATCCAACAAGTTGCATAATTTAAAATCGACGAGGGGAAATATCTTCAGTGACACGCTCGGGGATAAGAGTCGCACGGATTGTTCGATAATTTATTATAAGATCATAAAAGGAGGAAGATTCTTTTTTTTTTTTTTTTTCAAGCGATTTTTCACACCGCGCACGGGAATTATCCAATAACTTGTAAAATTTCACAGGAGGCGCAGATCTTTCGATTTTCAAGAAACTTTCTTTGAAACGGGGAGGGAGGGGACACGCGTAGGACGTCAGCTTTCACGAGAGTCGCAATAGGAGACGTTATTGTTCTTACGGAGAGACAGCTGCTCGGCCATAATTACACAAAGGTGGTCTGTCCAGAAACTGGTTCACCCACTTGCGTAACGCGAAGATGCGGAAACCGAGCTCGAAAGACCTGGAACCCGATTACATCATCGAACGTGTCCGATCTTATCCGCGTCCAATGCTTTCGCGATCGATGCGCCACGAATATCACCATCGACTACCGATCTTAACATTTCGATGATGATGACGATGCGAAGGGGCTTACTCGCAAAGGTGTCGTGTTATGCCCGCCTTAGAAGAGTTAAGAAATTTTTGCCCAAGAGAAGTGTAACAGAGATTTTGAGATTCGAGCAGTATCTTCGATTATAGGAATTTAAATGAAAAGAAAATTTCGTAATATATATTCGAACCCCGTCTGTGTCGTTTCACAAGACTTTTTAAAAACCAGTTACAGTTACATACCTTCAAATTAAATGGAAAAATACACGAGAAATCGGAACCGAAATGACGAAATTCTACGGATTATTTCTATATAAATTATCCACGAGCGGACGATTCGCTGAAATTCGTTAGATTTCTCCTGTGTGTGTTGCGTGCCCATACGCAATAGGGAAAATCGGACAAGATTTCTCGAAGAAAGCGATCGAGAATCCACCGGTTAGCGTCTTATATAATCCCTGACAATTTCCTTTTCCGACATTGGCTCGACTTTTTTTTCTTTACCTTGAATCGTTAATTATTCGTGATCGACATTGATGATTCGCGATCCTATGCCGAAAACCTGCGAATTGGTCGGTCGACGATCGAATTTATCGTTTCCCTCCATTGGAAGGAGAGAGGAAAGGAGAGGTCGCGTCTCGGTCGTGACAATCTCGATCGAGGCGCGGTTCTCGTGGCCTCGAGCCACGGCGCACAGGGTCAAGGGGTCATTTTTCTCGTCGATCGGGCCGATCCCCTTTCGCTTTCGATTTCGTTCGCTGTTGCTTCGATTCTGCCCGCTCGCCGAAAACTGGTCCGTCCGGTTGCGCAATCGGAAGACAGGGAAGTCCTGTCTTTCCGCGAAACGTGTGCACAATGACTCGACGAATGCCACTCGTCCACTTTCACCGTCGTCCACGCACGCACGTCCTAGAACGCGCGCGGTCACCTTTGAAATCCGGTCGAAAGAAGGCCGTGGAAATTCCGATTCGTGCACGCCTTCGTGACGGCCACCTCGGTGATTGCTGCATCCGAACATGCAAAGAAGTTTTCTTACGATTTTGAATTTTTAATTTTTCCGTGACTGCGATTCCTCCTTCGTAACGAATATTTCGGTGACGTCTGTGATTCGTGCATCTGAAGCTCGGAGGAAAATTGTTTAGAAGAAATTTACTTCTGAGTGATTTTTTTTTTATTTTTATTTTTATATAAAAATCCGATTTTGGTACGATCTTAGATTTGGTCGATTTCTCTGCGATTCCTCGTGACTTCTTCGTGACGAACATTTCGATGATGTCTGTGATTCGTGCATCTGAAAATCGGAGGAAAGAAAGAAAATTGTTTAGAAGAAGATGACTTTTTTGTTATTTTATTTTTCTTGCAACGTTAGAATAAGCGTAAAAATCTGAGTGATATTATCTTAGATTTCGAAATTTTTACGAAGTGACAATGGATTATTTAAAAAGTTCGAGCAGTTATTAAAATATTCAAATGCATTCCGAAAATATTAGTTCGAGGCAAGAAGAGAATATCACACTACATCTTAACCTTGTCATAATTCTTCCTTACAGTTCTTCCTTTAAGTAAAATTCGAACGTAGTAATATTCGTCGGTAATAACGGTAGAACGAAAACGTTGGTCTCTTCTTGGGGAATAAATCAAGGCGATATTAAAAAGAGGAAGAAAATCGAAAAAAGAAATATGATAGTTGATAAAGAAGAGATAGATGAGAAATTTTCTTCTCCGCAAGGACGCGGATCTGCGCGTTTCAAGGCCACGCTTTCGCGCATCTTCGATTTCCGTATAAAATCCGGGTTGGGACGGATCGAAAGTGAAGTGGCGTGTTCGTAATTGAGATAGTCGAGCGAAAGACGTCACAGAAAATGAGACGGGTGGTCAACGATACTCGAGACTAATATCTGGTTAGATCGTAATGAGAGTAATTACTATTAACGGAGAACAATGCCCCTCTTGCGCAAGTTAAAAGGTAAAACGGAGCAGCACAATGTCATTGGCTTGTGCAACTAACTTAATCCCACAAAACGTTGGCCTTTATTCGATTAATTCCCGCCAATCTTCTGAATGAAACGCTCCGTACGTCCGTGAAACGAGAATATCGCGTCCATTTAATTTGCTTTTTCTTTTTTAGATAAACTTTTAAATAAATTAATTCCTATTGTTGAAAGTGGAGATCAGATACGCATCTCTTGTGAATGAGATCCCCAATAACGATAAACTTACGCGATGTCACGGATGGTTTTTGCACGATTAGAAAAACAAATGTAGAAAAAAAAAAAAAAAAAAAAAGGAGAAATAAGATTGCTCGATCGAAAATGCAAATAACGAACAGCGTTTATAGACACGTGGAACACGTTCGAATCATCGTTCTTTCTTATCGAATCGTCCAATCGTAACTCGAGTTAACGAAACTAGTATGTGCGTGTATGTGTGCGCGCGCGAAAGAGAAAAAGAAAAAGCGATGAAAGTGAGGAAATTATGTATTCGACAGACACGTGCGGATTTATGAGCCGGAAGCGGGCAAGATTCAGCGGTCGGAGAGAAGAAGAGAGCGCATCAAAATTCCGCTTTCGCGGCGCAGAAAAATTCGGCTTCGCGTTGCAAATCTCGATAATATAATTTCCTCGAGCGTGTAGTTCTTCAACTGGGTGTAACAAAAAAAAGGGAGCAACCAAGAAGTGATGTTTTTATCACGAAAAACGGAAAGGAGAAAAAGAAATCTCGTCTCGTAATAGAGTTTCGTAAACTTGATTTTTAACACCAACCGTTCTTACGTTTAAGAATCTCGATATAAATTGGAATGATCCGTGTTTCGAGAGTGAAGCAACAATTATTTTCTTGAAACTTCTTGTGTCCAACTTTCGCTTTCTTCTTTTTCTTCTTCTTCTTTTTTTTTTTTTTTTTTCTTATTCAAATCGTCTACCAGGACCGAGACGACTCGCCATCGCGTCCCGAAAGAAAAAAGTTAATGAAAATTTCTCGCCTGGGATTAAATATGCGTGCGGAACAAAGTGAAAAAAAGAAGAAAAAACTTGTACACAATTTATGCAACCCGCTATTCACTTTCTATTCCCTATGTCCAAATCGTACGTCCCGTGTACCAGAGAGCGGGGCATATTAATTGAACGTTTCCCGGGCCGATGTTCATGGGGACAAACGGTAAACAACGATACACGAGCGCAATCGTTACGCAATGTCCCCGTACTTCCACGTACCGTTGATTCCTGCCTCATAATCGTACGTAAGATTACAAAGGTGTTACGTCATTTCGAGAGAGAGAAAAAGGACACGAATTCGAACAGTGCACCGGAATCGATCGTGTTCCGTAGCAATAATTACGAATTCCCTTCCTCGTGATATCGATCTTGTCGCTGCTCGTTTACTTCGTTTTGAGCCAGATATGTCACGCTACGACGTTCCTTCGACGCGTAACTCGGCCGTAATCGATCCGAACGTGCAAGAAGCTTTGGAATTCTATTCTCTGTAATCGTGAATTTTCTCTTCTTTCTCAAGGAAGGAAATGTTTCTTTTGGCATTCTAGTTAAAAATAATCGTTAAAATATACATTTTCGTTCCTACTTTGCATGTAATTGAAACTTCGTATTTTTTTTTTTTCTGTTGATGAAATGTTGAAGGAATTTCAAATAACAATGAAAATATAAAAAAAGCTTGCTCTCGCACAGACATCGTGCTCTATATTGCGAACAATAATTCATAAAAGAGTGGAAGAAAATCTTAAACGATTCTATTTAAAATTAACTTCAATTCGGCGAATTCTTAAAATTTATCGCGTGAAAAAAATGGAATAGGAATGCAATAATTGGTACAAGTACCCTATATAAGGGATTTTTTCATGGAGAAAAAATCGTACAGGAAGTTATTTGGAAACGAGA